GGCCAGCAGCAGGGGTCCCCAGCCCTCCCGCCCTCCTCACTCACCACAGTGGCCGGCGAGAGCAGCGACTGCCAGTGCAGCAGGACGCCCGTGGCCGCCACCTGCTCCAGCCACTTGCGGCTGGCGTCGCGGCTGCTCTCCTCGTACTCGCCGTTGTTGTTGTAGCGGTAGCTGAGGGCCGCCAGCAGCTGCTCGGAGAAGGTGCACACGGCAGCCACCAGGGCCTGGCAGAAGATGGCGTCCCTGCGCAGCTGCAGCTCCGTGTCTGGGGGCAGAGGCGGCTCAGTGGCGGGGGTGCTCCTGTGCCGTCCGCCGGCCCGCACCCCAAACCCTGGGCCTGGGGCCTCGCCGTGGGCCCCCCACCAAAGGGGCTGACTTGAGGCCAAAAATTAATCCCAGCTGCCAAAAGCCAATGCCACAAAAATCAATCCTCCTAAAGCGAGCCCATCTGCCAAAAAACTCACTTCGCTCAGTGACCCATCTGCCTGCTGAAAAACAACTTGCGATTTTCCCTAAGGCTTTCCCAAAACCCTGTGTCCTCAGCTGTTTCTCCACGTGTAACGGGATTTCTTGGCCGTGGCCAGCTGAACGCCAGTGATGATGCCAAGCTCTTCTGCCAAGCGCCACGTTTTAAGAAATGTAGCTTACCACTCTGGGTTTTAGAACTAAGCTTTCCTCCTGCCCACACCTCTCCTCTTGCCCCTGGTCCTTGACCTTGAGCAGAAATGGTCTGCAGAAATGGCCAATTTCAGGCAATTGGTCTTTCAGACTCTCAATCTTCAGAAGGAATTATTTTCAACTGGCTTCTGGCCAACAGGGTTTTAGTGACCAATTTTGACCTAGATCCTATTGTAGCTCCCTCTTGAGAATTTCTAGAAAGAAGGGGGGACAGACAAGGTCCCTAAGACACCTCAGCCCACCTTCCCCTGTTCCTCTTCCCCATGTGCTGGGTAGGAAGTCTCCAGGCTGGGGCTGAGGGCTCTAATGGCAAAAAGCCTCTCTATCCCCTGTCCTGGTCAGTATCCACCCAAGCCTGGAAGGTGGTAAAGACAGGGCTCCGGGCTCCAGAGCCCTGGGACCCGCCCCTTGGACACAAGAGAAAGAAGCAAGGTTCAAGTAGATCTTGGAGGGGCTACAGGCCAAAGTGTTGTTCCCACTGTCCAGACCCTACAGACCAGGGACCCTCAAACCTGGCTGGTAGAAGGGGCCTCCGCCAGGCTGTGGGAGCAGCACCCACTGCCAGGACGGCCTCTCCTGGATACACCTGGCTGTGCACCTCACGTGCCTTCAAGCCCTCACCTGTGCATTTCAGCAAGGCCAGGAGTAGCTGGTTCTTCCCATCTGGAAGGAGAAGGGGCAGAGACAGGTGGATGGGCTGGGAGGAGTTAGCAGAAGTGAGAGCAGAGAGCTGCCCCCAGCCCAGGGGCTCTGACCCGTCACAGCGAAGCCCTGGGTAGGGAAGTTATGCTCAAGAAGCTTTTCCTGAATGTTGAGTGAACTCCCGAAACCCTGTACATGCAGGGAATGAACCCCAGCTGTCAGACTTACCTGTTTACATGCACACAGCAGACAGAGACTAAACCAGCCCTTTAACCCCTGGGCCACAGCCCCTGCCCTACACCCTGCACACACGTGTGGGCACACACTCACATGCACACACACAAACAGGTACACGTGCACTCACAGACACACTCATATGTCAACAGACACACATGCAGGCACGCCACACACAGGCAGACACACACTCATACATAGCCTCACATGTATGCGCATTCCAGACAGTCACTGCCCCACACATGCAGAAAAAGCTCATTTCTGCCAGAGAAAAAGGTCTCTTTACTTTAAAAAGATGCTCTTGGGCCCAGAAAGAGCTTAAAAGAAAAATCTGAAAGGCCTTTGAATTTAGCTTCTCCAGGTACTTTCTTCCCTAGAGAGGCACGTCAGACTCAGGGCTAGGCATGGGCTGATGACAGCAGCTGCTGAGCCTGGACTGCTGGGGACCCACTGTGTGCTGGCCAGGCTGAGACCCACTGTGCCCAAGCAGTGAACTAAGTGCTCAATCTGTACTGACTCATTTAATCCTCACAACAACATGTGAGGGAGGTAGCCCTGTGAGCCCATTGTACATATGAATAAACTAAGGCCCAGGGAAGGCAAGGAATTTGCCAAGGTCCCACAGCCAATAGGTGGGTGGGCTGGGACTCAAGCCCTGGCGATCCGGCTCCAGAGTCCACACTCTTAACTAATTGTAGTTGGGGAAAACAGGCCAGCTCAGGCCAGCAGAGACTTGAAACTCAGAGGCCACTGTCTCCGGAGGAACGGCCGGAGCCCTTGTACTTGCTCTCCTGGCCTAAGGTCCCCCTGGCCTGGATCCTTCTAACCCGGGAGTCTCAGATCAGATGCCGGCAAGGGCCAGGCAGGTGACGGCAGACGCACGGAGGACCGAGGTGAATTGGAAAGCACCCCTGGATCTGTAGAGAGCAGCTGCCACTCATCGCCAGCAGAGTGGGGATACGGGACTGTGGGCCTGGTGCCACCAGATCTTCTGGTTGGCCAAGAGTAGCCAGAAATCTAGATTTTTATGTGATATCTCTCAGTGTAAACACTAGCAGTAGATTCATATTTTTTAATGCTGCAGCATCAAAACCTATCTGTAGGCCCAAATGTGGTCAGTAGACTGGCCAGCTTGTGACCCTGATGATACCGAGGCTGCGCAGGACAGATGCTTGGCTGAGAAGGGCACCGCTCCTCTTGTCCCTTCCCTGGGCATGGAGAGACATGGGACACAGAGCGGGACCCATTCCTGAACCCTCCACATTCCACATGCAGAACCCAAGGCCACAGAACACCCCCCACATCCTCCCAGCCCTGACCTTCCACGTGTCTCTGGATGTTGTCCACCAGGGTCTTGATGGAGTTGGGGAGGTTCCAGGGGTCCTCCTGGATGCTGATCTGGATCAAGCTCCGGCCACGGATCGTACACTCTTCTTTCTGTTTGAACTCTGGGGCAGGGAAGTGGCGTGAGGGCCAGGGAAGGGATGGAGGCAGCTTTGGAGAACGGTGGCACAAAGGCCTTTGTCCCATCAGATTCCAAAGCTCATAATCCTAGGTCAAGGGAGCCGGCAGGACTCCCAGGTGTCATCTGGTCCGTAAAGGGCAAACACGCCATGAGTGTGCTGCTACTTCATGGCACCGCGCCCATGGCAGACACCAGTAATCAGTCCTAGGACTCCTTCCTGCTGGTCTGAGGCCGGGACTTTGCACAGCTACAGCAAGCCAGCACAGACCCCACAGGTCAGTCCCGGCTTTCTCTTCTCCCAAGCCTGGTGCCGAGCCACAGAAGGATGCTCAGGTGCTACCTCCTCACAGCCACAACCAATCGAGCCGGCACGTGAGTTGTGACCCAGTCTAGCCCTGTCCCTACACAGAGGAGGAAGCCCAGGCACAGAGTGGGAAAGTGACTTGCACAGAGTTACACAGCTGGGTAGTGACACAGCTCAGATTTGACTCTGGTCCCAGCAAGATGACTCAAAAGCTATGCAGACACTGGCCCCTGTTCCTTTGGCCTCTTCCCTGCTACAGTGCCCGAGTTTCTGAGATAGCTGTGGTTTTAACTCTTCCAGGTTTGTTGTTTCTGCTTTCTGAGGTCCACCCCTGAGAGATGATTCTAAGACAGCAGGACGGGCAGTTCAGCTGGGGGTGCCCCAACTCCTTACCACTTCCTGCCCTTACTTAGGGGCAACTACCTGCCTGCATTCCTCTCTCCTACACTCTGAGAGCTCCTGAGGTCAGGGCAGTGTCAGAGTCATCTCAGGGTCCCCAGTGCCCAGCACAAGGCCTGCCAAAAGCTGGTTCTCAGGAATTACTTACTGGATGTATAGATGCATGGATGAGAAGGTGGGTGGATAGGCAGGTAGAGAGATGAGTGAATGGATGCTTGGTTGGATGGATGGATGGATGGATGGATGGATGGATGGATGGATGGATGTGTGGAAAGATAAGTGGGTGGATGGATGGATGAATGGATGAGGGGGTGAATAGGTGGATGGACTGATTTGGCCCATGGGGACGAGCCCACAGCCATTCAGCAAGAGAGGGACAGAGCTGCTAGTGCCAGGCGTCCTGCCCTGGTCCAGCACCCTTCCCTGTCACAGGCTGTCCTGTCTCCCTACGGACGCCGGAGCCTGCTCACCTTGCAAGCTGTGGTCCATGGGGAAATGCTTGGTCTCTTCGAAAGCTCTGCTCATCACTGGCCCCTTGAGGAGCGCGTTGATGGAGTCCACCTGGGCAGCAAGAGGCTCTGGGTCAGCGTGGGCCTCGTGGCCCTCCGCATTGCAGGGACCTGTGACTCTCAGCCCCTGCTCCAGCCCCTGGGTCATAGGATCTCACCAGGGGGAACAGAAGGAACCAAAGGTCACACAGGGTGGGGCAAACATCCCACCTGGTTAAAGAGATGCTCCAGGCAGCCGTGAAGCTTGTCCTGCTTGTCCGACGGGATCCGCATGTCACAGGGCAGCTCATCCCCTGCGGGACAGAGAAGCCACGGCCATCAGCCAGCCATGCCCCAGCCCCATCTCCTAACCTTTCCCAGGAGGGCAACGCAGCCACAGAGCTCCAAACCCACGGGGTTCTGGAGTCTGAAGATGTGGGTCCTGTCTGCAAGTCACCAGGTAAATCACCTGACCTCTCCGAGCCTCGGTTTCTTCATCTGCGAAATGAGCAATAGGCACTCAAGCATTACAAGACCGTAAGGCACAGGCATTGTGTCCATTCTGCAAATGAGGACACTGAGAAGCAGAGAGAAGGACCTGGACCCGAGGCTCCCGGTGCATCGCCCAGCCGGTTCTCGGTGAAATCGGCGGCCACACAGGCCGGCTCCTTCCCTGCACCTCCCTGGGACCGTGTCTGCGGTTGAGCATCTTACGTGATGAAACAGTTATCTAAAGTTCAATATCTTCCATTTTACTTACATTTCTTTTTCTTCTGTTAAATTCAAGCATAATTAAACTTAAATTTTTTAAGCACAAACTACCTCTGGAAGGACACACAAGACAACAGTGACAGTGGGGACAGTGGTGACAGCCTGAGAACCAGGAGGCTGGAGCACGGGGCAGTGAGGAGACTTGTCCCCCACCATGCCCCCTTCGTGCCTTTTGCATCATGAAGCCTGTGAGCACACGACCCACTCAAAATGAATGTTTTTAGAAGTCTGAAGTGAATAAGATTAAAAAACAAATTTTAGGCTTTCAGTAAAAGTTGCAAGTAGAGTATGATCTAATTTATAAACTGGTATTTGTGTCTGTCCTTCCAGCCATCCACCATCCACCCACGTGTCCATCTCACCGATGACAGCTCCAAATACAGGCCACGGTCATTTCTGAGGGAGATGGGGAGATTCTGATTTATTTTTATATACTACGTTTGAACCGTTCTGTGTCGTTTAGATTTTTGGTTTGGGCATGTGTCCTTTTTTATGGAAACCATCAGGTCATCCAGTTTAGTGTTGTCAGAGCGCTCAGCACAACCGCACATCATGTGTGATCATACATGATCATACAGAATTGCATCATGCATGCCATTCTTTGTTCCATGTCCGTGACATTCTCAGAGAAAGCCAGCCCCATGAGGGCTGGGAGCTCTGTCCCATCCTCTGCTGTGTTCCCAGCGCTCAGCACACAACAGGTGCTCGATAAACATTTGCGGACTGGGTGGACAGAGGGCAGTAAAGTACAATACTGTGCAATACAATACAGAGCAACGTAATGTAAAGTGAAACAAAATAAAAGTAAAACACAATCTCGCCGAGGGCCACTTCCCAAAAGCACAAGCCACTCCACTCACCAGACCCCATCTCGTCGCTGCCCAGGTAGGAGCTGTTACTTCTCACGCTGGTGTAGGACAGGACCGAGTCCCGATTGCTGTTACACTCGCTGCAAAGGGGCCGAGAGAAAGGGCCAAATCACCCTCTGGTCCCAGCACAGGGAACCCACTTTCTAGAGTGTAGACAAAATCCCTGGGTCCTCAGGTGGACATCTAGCCTGGAGAAGGTACCAGGGGCTGACTACCAACAGCAGAGCCAGGGAAGGCTGGCCTGACCTTTCCATGCCTGAGGGCGGGGAGACACTCCTAGGCTCTCGCACAGACGCACGGAGATGGCAGGAGGGCAGTGACCGTTCTCATTCAGGTGTCACTCTGTGCAGAGTCCCTGGACCCTCCCCGAACACATCCCTCCTTGTGTGGGACAGCCGTGCTCTGGACACACCTGCACCCACCACGTGTGACCACGCGGCTCCGTGTGCAGTCTCCCCAGCCTGCAAACCTCAGGAGGACGGAGACTACATGTGATTCGCTGTGTCTCGAGATCTCAGAAGGGACAGGGACTCAAAAACCACATCCTGAAATTATCTTTTTTTTTGAGACAGAGACTCTCTCTGTCACCCCAGGCTAGAGTGCAGTGGTGTCAGCCTAGCTCATGGCAACCTCAAACTCCTGGGCTCACATGATCCTCCTGCCTCAGCCTCCCTGGGACTATGGCCGTACACCATGACACCCGGCTAATTTTTCTATTTTTAGTAGAGACGGGGTCTCACTCTTGCTCAGGCTGGTCTCAAACCTCTGAGCTCAAGAGATCCTCCTGCCACCCAGAGAGCTAGAATTACAGGCGTGCGTCACCACGCCCAGCCCTGAAATTCTTTCCTTCAACTTTTTGACAACTAAAGAAAAAATCAAAGGACCCAGAAAAAAGTAAGAATGAAAACCCAGAGAGATGGCAAAATCTTAGACTCCAGACAAGCCCTAGTGCCAGAACTCATCTTGGTACACAGACACCAAGAAAGCTGGAGGTGGCAGGCCAGTCCGCCCCCTTAAGACTGAAACAATATAACTCTGGAGGACTGGGGTGAAGGCCTGTCTTGCTAAATTTTATCAGTTTTGGTTTTTGCTCACAAACAACTGAAGCATCCTCTAAGATTCTACTGGGACTATAACGGTCACATGTATTAACATATATGGAACATATATTTATTTACTGTATGGTTTACCATGGGAAATTGAGTTTTAGTCTATTCAACTCACTAATTATTATAGGATCTCACTCCTCTTGTTATAATTAACCAGTAGAAGAACGATTCAGATCTTCTCAGGGTTAGGAGGGAAAACAGTGCTCTCCCTCCCTGGATCACATACAAACAGCGTTTGCTGCAGAAACCACGTGTCATGTAGAGTTTTAAAACACGCCACAGAGTCTTAAGCTTTCCTTTGACAGCATTTGTCGGCATGCGTGGAGTGACGTCAAAGCAGAACGGAGCATGTCCACATGGGGCGGGCCCCAAAACGTCAGCTTTGGGGCGGGGGAGCCTAGGGGGCACCCTGGGATGCTCTTGGGGTGCTCAGAGCTCTTGTGGCTCATCCTGGAGCCACACTGCTGGCAACAGCACCCCACTCCCACTGCATCCTGGGAAACGTCCCACTGATTCTGACTTTCCCACGGCCGTGGCCTCAGCTGTCCCACTGCCCGCGGCCGCACCCACCTGTAGGAGTCGCGGTAGCTCATGGTGTCGTGGCCTGAGTCCTCCTGGTCCTCCTCGGACACCTTGAAGCACACTTTCTTCATGGCCCCGTGGTCAGCCCTGTCCATCTCACTCTCGTCGCCGACCAGCGGGGAGGAGGAGGCCTCCTCAGACAACGGCGGGTCACAGGGGCCCCCCGAGGTGGGCTCCGTGATGGTGGACAGCAGCCTGCAGGGAGCAAAGACCTTGAGGTCAGAGACACAGGCCGACCCTCTGTGTCCCTTCCTCGACGATCTCGCAGCGACTGCAGGTGCTTGCCACTGCCCCTCCTGGTGCGGGGCGGCGGGCCAGGGGTGTGAGGCGCGCAGGTTCTCATTTCACGGCCAAGCTACGAGAGGCTCCGGGGTGTGGAACACGAGCTGGGAAACTGTCTCTAAAGGCCCCGAGAGCAAGCCTTCCCAGGTCGCACGGTCTCCGCACAACTGCACAACTCTGCCACTGCACCGTGGATGACACGTAGGCAAATGGGCATGGCGTGTTCCAATAAGACTTGTTTAAAAAGCAGTAGGCTAGGTTTGGCCATGGGCCACAGCTGGTCAGTCCCTGGCGTACAGAGTAATGGTTAAGAGTAAGCTTTTGAAGCCAGACAGACCCCAGGTTCAAATCCTGATACTGCCGTTTCCTAGCTCAGAGACTATTTAAAGTCTATTTAAACTATTTAAAGCAAACTATTTAAAGTCTCTGAGACTCAGTTTCCTTATCTGTAAAGTGGGATGATATCACATGAAGCTTCTGTGAGGATTAAGGCAGTGAAAACACGTAAAGTGCTGAGAACGGTGTCTGGTGCCTTCTAAGCAGTCCATGAAACCCGGCTAAATGGAATCCTACCACGTCTCAGTCAGTGTCATGATTAGCCCATTTTCCAGATGAGGAAACCAAGGCTCAGAGAGGTTAAGTGACTTGCCCAAGGTTGCTCAGCTGCTAGGTAGCGAGGCCAGGACTGAAACCCAGAGCTCCAGGCTCCAGAGCCTATGTTTTCCTTTATCATCCACAAAAGCTGAGCGAGGACTGTGATGAAGCCCAGGTCCCCGGCAGCCAGTCCGACAACAGCGACACAGGGTCTGCCTGTTTCCTCAATTTTCCCATCGAGTTTCCTTTCTCTGGAGTATTTAAAACAAGTCTAAGATAACACATAACTGCCCCTATACATGCTCCCGTACGTGTCTCTAATACCTAAGGGCTTTCTTTTGAACCAATGGTTCTCAACTGGGGGCACTTCTGTCCCCCAGGAAACACTCGGCCACGTCCAGAGACTCTGTCACTTGCCAGAGCTGAAGGGGGGCGTTGCCACTGGCTCGCGCAGGTAGAGGCCCGAGCTGCTCGCCGTCCTGCAGCGCACAGGACAGCCCCCGGCAGCGAGCGCTCTGCCCGCAGCGTCCACGGCGGCGAGGTGAGACGCCCTGTCTAAACAGAACCGCGCTGCTCCGACCGTGCCTGGCAAAGTTAGTCATTCCGGAACCATCCACCACCCAGCTGTCCAACACTGTCTCCTCACGGCTGGCGTGAGGCCACTACCCAGGTCCGGCCGCTGCCCGGCCGATGCGTCTCCCAAGCCCCCTTAATCCCGACAGACCCTCCTGCGCCCCAGGCCCCCCTCCTGCCGTCATCACTGGCTGAGCAAACTGGGCCATCGTCACGTCGGCTCACCGCCCTCTGGACTTGGCCAAAGGCGTCTCTGAGGGGCCACTGAACCGTCCTCTGTCCCCACACCCCACGGCTGAGCGGGAGACCTGCGGCCCGCATGGAACATGGCTGCGTCTCTGCTGGCGAGAGCACTCGGGGGCGGAGCTGCCTGCGTCCGGCTGCCTCACAGCACGACGGACGCCGCGCCCACCGTCTCTGCCACGTAAAATTACGGAGAGTGACAGACAGCTTGGGCCTCCCTGGAGGTCACGCCTACGCCCACTGTTCCATCAGAGCAGCGGTTCTCCATCAGGGATGCTTTGCCCCCCGGCGGCATGTGGCAATGTCTGAAGACATTAGTGGAGACTCCAATTGGGGGTGGGGACCGCAGTTGGGGGTGGGGGCGGCAACTGGGGGTGGGGGCACTACTGGCATCTGGCAGGCAGAGCAGAAAGACGCTGCTAAGTGGCCTATAAGGCACAGGACGGCCCCACCACAAGGATTCTCCCGCCCACAGCGGCAACAGAGCCGGGTGGAGAACGCCTGCCCAGCCTCCTCCAGACCCTGGGCCAGGGCTCGCCTGTTGATCTGGGTGACGTATTGCTTCATCTCCTTCAGGGCCACGTCCAGCTTGGTGAAGAGCTGCAGGTAGGCGTCCTGGATCTCACGGTCCTCCTGCTTGAGCAGGAAGCTCAGGCCCCGGTCCTCCTGGCCAAGGGCCCCGTTGGCTGGCCCAAAGACACTGTCACCAAGACCCTGGCCTTGGGTGTCTTCATCCACAGCAGGCAGGCACTTCCAGGACGGGGCAGCCATGGTGGTGATGCAGTGCTGGGTGTAGGACATGGGGTTCAGGTGGCCTACGGTGGAGGAAGGGAGAGCTCACTCGGAAACAGCCCCCAGACACCCAGTGCCCTTTGGGCAGAGGGGTACAAACCCATTTCAAGGATCCCAATAAGACAATTTTCCCTTTTAAATACTCCTAATCCATTAGGTTACTGCAAGAAGAAAGTTTCAGTCTGGTGCTAATGTGCTTTAAACTACTGGGATTGTTTTCCTGCTGGGAGTGCAGATGTGATGGCTGGAACTCCAGCAGACATACCCTACCTCGAGGCAACCTGAAGGCCAGGCACCACCTCTAGAGAGATGGCACAGAAAAACAGAGGAGCCTGGCTCCCTGATGATCACGGAGCTGCACTGCAGCCTGGACTGCCGAGCTTCAGATGTCTTCTGTTCTAGTATCTGGGGTGCAAGATCTGAACACACTTTCTAACAGACACAGACAGGTACCTTGCTCCGGGTCAAGGCCGATGAGGGAGGGTTTGCGGCCAAAGCGGATGCTGAAGGACCTGCCAACCGAGGGGGTGGTCTTAGGGTAGGACACTTCCATGAGGTTGATGTGGCAATTGGTGGGGCAGAAGTCCAGGCCACACAGTGGATGGGGCTCCAGGGGTGCTTGTTTGAAGGGTGGGCTGACCCTGCTCTTCAGCTGGGCTGCAAACTGGGAAAGGTGGAGGACAGGGGTCATGAGTCAGAGGTCAAGGTCTGGAAATTTTGGCTCACCCCAGAACCCACTTTACCCTGGCCTAGGCCAGACATTCCGAAATTGGACAAAATGCCAACAGCTCTAAGTGGAGAAGTGCATTTCCCTGCACTTTCACTGGGCCCAGACTTCAGGGACAGCCTGGAGGAATGTGAGGCCTCTGAGAACTCATCTCACTCATTTTTCCATTTCGGCTGTGCCTGAGCTGTCCTTAAGACACCGTCTCTCCCGTCCGTCAGATCATGAGGTTCAGGTCCCACAGCGATTGGGACCCGGCCAGGCAAGTGACCCAAGCCAAGCCAATCGAGGCCCCTCCAAGTTAATTTTTTACTGGGGTTGCTAAGGCTAGAGTTACTGAGTGCCATCCTGTCACCACATGAGAAGGGCCCGTCTGAGAGCAAAGCCAGCACAAAGGGAAACAAAGTCAGGAGATGGAGAGAGGCCACATTCCTATGACATTGTGCTATCTGTTTAAGTACCTGGATACAGCCAGGCCTGAAGTTCGCTTCTGCACTTTTCAGTAATACAAACCAATAAATTATGTTTGTTTAAGCTATGTTGGGTTGGGGTTTGACTTTTATAACCAAAATATCCCAGGCTGAGACCCTACGTCTGGGAGCCTGCGGCAGAGACCCTGCAGGGAGCAGGTACCTCCCGGTAGCAGGCGATCCTCTGGCCGATGCGCTCCAGCTTGGTGTCGCAGGTGTTGCGGAACTCAAAGTGAAGCATGGTCACCATGGCACTGCTCAGGGCCATGAGCCGCCCGCAGTTCTGCACGAAGACACTGTCGTCGGCAGCAAAGGCCTCAAGGATCTGCAGAAACATTAACAGCTCCGGAGCGCCGCCCATGCGCCAGGGCGGGTCTTAAGCAATTTTCCTGCAGTGACTCCTGTGTGCCTGGTAATACCCCTGGGAGGGCGCGTCTATTACTGGCCCATTTTGCAGGTGAACAAACTGAGGCTGAAGGAACAACAAGTCACTCTCCTAGGTCCCAAGGACTAGGATCCAGGGCTCCAGGCTGTTCTGAGGAAATGGGAATCAGGCTTCCCCCAGCCTAGTCCTTCACCCCCACCCTGGTCAGACAAACTGCTCCCCACCCTCAAGCAGGACAGGGTGGGGCCCTGCGAGACCTTGGCAGTGAGGCCGAAGCAGCCTCGGGGCTCCACGATCTCCTCCAGCACGTGGCACTTGACGCCCGCCGTGCTCATGTACTCGTACACCACGCCGTGCTCCAGGTGCACGTTGTCCACGGTCAGGCTGACCACGGGGCTGTCCTCGCGCAGGCTCAGCTGGGGGCCCAGGGACAGCAGAGGGAAGGCTGGAAGCCAGAGGGGCAGATGACACTGAGTCGGGGAGACACCACTCAACGGCCAGCCAGGCCCTGCCACTAGCACCACCGACCGCTCACACTTGGCAGATGGGGAAACTGAAGCCTGTGCTGCAGCTGCTTCTGGCGGCTCCCTGCTGTTCGCCCTTATCCTGGAAGATTCTCCTTCTAGGAATCGGCCCTGCGCCCCACTCTCAGTCTGTGTGGCTCTGCTGAGGCCGAGCCCCACCGCATGCCTGGTTCCTCAGGTGGGCGGAGACACAGGCCTGGCCAATCAGCATAGTCCCTCCCCCCTCTTCACAGTGATTGGTTCAGGATCAAGCATGTGACTCTAGCTGGGCCAATGAGAGTTAGATCTGGGACTTCTGCTGGATCTACAAAGAGAAGGAGACATTCTCTTTTTGAACTGGATTCCGAGCTGCCAGAGCCAGTGTGCAGAGAAAACCTCAAGTAAGAGGGAAGCCCACATGGAGAGTCGAGAACTGGAGAGTGAGAAAGATTTCTCACCATGCTGCAAAAGGCACTGGATCAAGCCAGACCTGATGCTTGAGGTTTGTGTGTTGGAAACTTAATCCCAACACAAGAGAGGTGTTCAGGGCTCTACCTCATGAGCAGAGCAATGCCATTGTCAAGGGCTTAGCAGAGGGACTGGCCCTTGCTGGCCCTTCCTTTCATCACAAGAGGACAGGGCATCCCTCCCCGCTGTAGGACACAGCAGGAGGGCCCTCACCAAATGCTGGCACTTTGGTCTTGGACTTCCCAGCCTCCAGAACTGTGAGGAAATAGATTTCTGTGCTTTATCAGTTGCCCAGTCTGTGGCATTCTGTTACAGCAGCACAAACAGACTATGACACATGGCGAGGGGAAATTAAGGCTGCAGATGGCGTTAAGTGTGTGAATCAGCTGACTTTAAGAGAGGGAGATTAACCTGGGTTTTCTAGGTGGGCCCAAAGTAATCACAAGATTCCTTAAATGGGGAAGAGAGCGCCCAAGAGGCAGAATTAGAGAGACGGCAGCGTGAGAAGGTCTCAGGCCAACAGCGCTGAGGCCCTCCGTCAGCGAAGGAGACTCGAGCCGAGGAACGTGGCCGCAGCGAGAACCCGGAACAGGAAAGGACACGATTCCCCCTAGAGCCCTAGAAAGGAACATGGCCCTGAGGACACCTTGACTTTGACCCGGTGAGACTCATTTCGGACTTCTGACCTCCAGAAATGTAAAATAATAACTGCGTGTGGTTTTCAGCCACTAGGTTTGTGGCACTTTGTCACAGCAGACACGAAAAACTACTAGAGAACTGCTGGCATCCAGATGTCCTGGTGGGATGAGGGCTCAGGACAGGACCCAGGCCCTCTGGGGCGTCTGTCCCTCGGAAGCTCCTGCCACACGCTCCCTGCCTGTTACCTGCATCGGGCTGGTCTTCCTCCTGGTCCCCCTGGCCGCTGGGGTCCTCGCCTGGGGCCTCCTGGCTGGCCCGCGCCTCCTGGGCGTCCTCGTGGGTGTGGTAGATCCACTGGTACAGGCCCTGGGGGGAGCCAGGGTGAGGGGGCGGCCGTGGCACCAGCCGCTGGGGGGAAGGGACGGGGGGGGGCTGCTCCTGGATTCCAAGGTTCTGGAAAATTCCTGGTCTCCACTCATCCTCAGCCCTCACCATGTGCAGGCCACGCTCCACACAGAGGTCAGGAAGAGGGAGCCTTTGAAAATGTCAGAGCCATGGGAGCAGACGCCTTGTCTCTCCTGTGTCCCCAGGGCCCACAAAAGCGCCCGGCACAAAGCAGGTGCCAATAAACACTCACTGAGTGAACCAACGAATGAATCGACCAGTGAATATCACCCTCCACCAGGACCCTGGCCCCTGACTACTTGCCCAACACACCTATGTGATAGGAAGAGAGGGTCTCACCATACCCATTTCACAGTTGTGAACACCAAGGCCATAAGGTATCATAGCCCAGCTCCTCTGGTTGGGGCAGGCAGCCCAGCAGGAGCACAGAGCCCAGGCCCAGCTCAGCCCTGCCAGGTGGGCAGCCCCACTCCACCCACAACCCAGGGGACCTGCAGGCTTTTCCCCGGAGAAGAGAGGGGTTCCCTCGGCCCCCACCCCACCCAGCAGTGCTTCCCTGATCCCCCCGGCTGCTGCTCAGCTCACCAGGGCCTCTTCTCGTCGACTCCGGAACGCCTGGAAGTGCTCCAGGACCTCAAGGGCCCCATCGTTCATCACGTTGTTGCCATTGACCTTCAGGATGCACTGACCAGCACAGAGCCCCGCGGCCACGGCCTCTGAGCCTAAGGGGGACAGCAGTGCTGGAGGCCAGGCCCAGAGGGCATGGGGCAGCAGCAGGCAAGGGCAGGCAGCCAGCTCTGATCGCTGCCCCCACCCCTACTCCCCCAACCTCCCAGTCCTGAACACAAGCCCTGAGACGCCACCTCCATCCCTCCTGCTCTGCAGTGGGCAGAACAGGGGCTGACATTCTGCAGAGGAAGAAACTGAGGCTCAGGGAGGTGGCAGCTAGTCAAGGTCATGCGGCACAGAAAGCTGGGTCTGACCCAGGTACGCTTCTCTCTAGAGCTTCATCTCCTGTAAAGCCCTGCCACAACCTTGTGATCGTGGGCCAGGATCAGTCCCACTGGCAGAGGGGGAAACAGGGACACAGAGAGGCAAAGCAACTCTGAAGGTCACACAGCTAGGAGAAGCCCGGACTCAGACCAGGTCTGCCAGACTCCAAGTGCACATTTTCCCATCTGTTCCACGATTCCCAAACTGTAAGTCCCGGACCCCAGGGGTTTGTGTGGTCAATGCCAGAAGTCTGGAAATGCAAACAAATGCCACATAAAGTTTTGCCTCTGTGTGGGACAATATCAGGCCTGATTGGTATGACGGTGACAAGTACAGGCCAGGGACGTGGCTTCAAACCAGAGCTCTGCCACAGACCAACCCTGCAACCTTCAGCAAGTTCCTTAACCTCTCCAGCCCTCAGTTTCCCCATCTGTCAAACAGACACACTAATCACACCTATTCCAAGGGTTCCTGAGCACCATGCCTGGCACTTAGCACATGCTCAAGAAATATCAGCTGTTCTATTATTTTTGCCTGGCTCACCTACGAATACCTACTACTCCCTATTATAAACATCTCCTTAGATGCTCCAAGGCACTCCTAATACTTGGGGCCAGATAAATCTTATTCTCCAGACTGTCCTGTGCATTGTAGGAGGTTTAGCAGTATCTCTGGTCTACCCACCAGATGCTAGTAGCACAGCCTCCCCAGCTGTGCCAACCAAAAATGTCCCCAGACGGTGCCAGATGTCCTGGGCGGCTGAGGGCAAAACTGTCCCCAGTTGAGAGCTACTACTTTAAGAATAAATAAAATAAAAACACACTTTAAAATATTACCAAATCTCAGTAGCTTTCTGTCATGACATACATTTTCTTAATCAGTAGGTATTAAATGTACAACTATGACCACAACACAGGACAATTCATGTTTTAACTTTAAAAAGGGGACATTTAGTAGCAAAAAAATTTGGGGACCCAGCATTGCAGACCTACTTACTTGGTTTCATCTTCAAGACAGAGTGACACTTTACATATCATGCAAGGAAAGGGCAATGCAGAAAGCAGAGGTCTCCAACTGGTAGCCCTTGGGCTAGATCTAGACACAAAAGTGTTTCTGTAGGGCCCCCAAAATTCACATTTCTGGCTTCTCTTAGAAAATCAAATCTGGCAAGAGTGCACCCACATTACTATGTGGCAATAATGAACCTGAGATGCAGAGCAACTGCTCCTTGTAGAGTGAACGTGTATTCTTTTCACCTTGCCATAGTCCTCACCACTCCCTACTGTCTTCCACTCGGATCACTATACCCACTTGTGACCTCCTTGACCCCAACAGCCATTTGTGTTTGCAAGTCTTGGCGTCAAGCAAAGAAAGTAAGTGCTAGCAGTGCACTATCAGGCGGAGGCCTGGCAGTACTGATAATGATGGCTCTGAACTCCCACCACACAGACAGGCCCACCTCCCAAAGCTCCCCTCCATCTGCCAGCCTCCCACTCACCTCTGCCAACGGCATAGACGTACGGCGGGGCGGCCCCTCGGATCTGGAAGCACAGTGACTCTGGCTGGTCGGGGACTTTGACGACCCTGCACCAGGCAGAAGTAGCGGGGAAAGGCCATAAGGAAAAGCAGCGTTGCTCCCACTAACCCAGGGGGCCAACGCGGGGAGCCCCCATCCCCAAGACTTTTGGGAAATCCAGCCCAAAATAGTAGCAGCACCAGGCTTTCCACCTCCTAAATACAGAGAAAAATGTCAGTGAAGCAGAGCCCAGCACCCTAGGATCTTTGATTAACCAGAACCAGCTGGCCGCCTCTGGAGCTTCCGTCCACGCACAGGAACTCTAGGCCGGCCTCCTGCGCCGGCTCCATCGTCCTCCCGTCCTAAGGGCCCTTGGTGGCCAGACCAGCACTTCAGCCAGTCAATATTTCATTCTCAGTCACAGATGGGAGGGTGAGGACGGTGCTGTCCCTAGAAAAACACCTGCACAGGGGTCCCCAACCTATGGTGAGTAGTGTAATTATTTCATTATATATTACAATGTAACAATAACAGAAATAAAGCGCACAATAGATGTAATGGGCTTGAATCATCCCCAAATCATTCCCTATCCCTCTCCAATTCATGGAAAAATTGTCTTCCATGAAAACAGTCCCTGCTGCCAAATGAGGTTGGGGACCGCTGCCCTAGAGAACGCGGTGCGAAAGCCCAGGTGGGGGCCACTCCGTGGTGAGCCGCCAAAGCAGAGGGGCAGCACCCGCCGGCGGCACAGTAGGTGCCGCTGGTCCTGGGCTTCAACGCGCTGTCTGCCTCCCTGTCTGGGGCGCGTCCCCTCACTGAGTGGCACCATCGTCTCTCCCACCCCACCTGCCAGATAAAGCCATCTCGGGAGCCTGGTCTCCAACCACAGGTGTTTCCAGAACTTTAAGCAGATACGTGCCACTCTGGTGGCTTCTGCCACTTCCTTATACCAACCGAGCTATGGATCGTGTTTTCCCTACATCGGCTTGCCTTTTTACTGAAATGATCCTATCTAAAACTTTCCATCCCTCCTGTCAGTAAAACATTTGCCTAAAACAAAAGGGAGCAGTGAAAAACAAAACACGTAAGCTTTAACATAGAAAATGCTTCCCCTGGACCTGTGCCTAATCGACCCGCTTCTCTCCACGCTGGTCCAAGGCACCGGCCCTCACCTCGCCCTGCCCGACAGTCAGGTCTCCACCTGCAGCCAGAGGGCTTCTGCCAGCCCCTCCCAGTGGGCTCCACGGGTCCTCGCCAGGGGCACGAGGTCCCCCAGGGCCTTCGCCACTGCCCAGCCAACCTCACCACCACCCTGCCCTCTCGAGCGCTGCCCCAGCCCCTTCAGCCTCCTCACTGCTCCTCAGACATGCCAGAAGCTGCCCACCCCAGGGCCTTTGCACTGGCTGTTTCTGTTACCTGGAAACTGCTTCCTCCCTCAACTCCCCCTCACCTCCTGCAGGTCTTCACCAGTTTGCAGTGACGTCTCCCTGACCCTGACCACTGCACACCCCGGCCCCTCCCCCGGCTTGGCATACATTCACCCACACCAGGTCACCACCGCTGTCTTCTCTGTGCAGCATCTGCCTCCTGCTCCCGCCCCCCAACTAGGCCTGAGACCTACGAAGGGTGGGAGCTGCGCCCCCCATGCCCAGTGGATCCCCACAGCCTGAAACGCCACCCAGCACGGGGTGGGCCCTCAGCAAGCACCTGCCAGTGAACGGAGGAGCCAGCTTTGTCACACGCCTCCAGCAACGGGCCCCACCCGCAGGCACCAGGACAGTTCACACCCACCCCTCCACCCAGCAGCCATGCGGCACGCAAGGGGACCTGCAAGACACCCCGCCCCTGGGGACACTCACTCTTTGGCCTTGGTGGCCACCAGGAGGCGCAGCGGGCGGCGGGAGCAGAAGGACTGGTTGAGGATGGTCTCCACCTCCGAGAAGGGCCGCAGGAACACCAGGTCCTCGTTGATGGAGTAGATCTTCCTCCCCACCTGCAGGCCGGCCATCTGGGCAGGGGAGACGGGCACGTCGGCCACTGAGTCCCCTCCCTCCTCGGTGCATTCCCGCAGCGTGACACTGGCCCCAGGGACCGAGCGGGGCTGGGGTGCGCCCAGCAGGGCGACGGGCTCCCTCTGCGCTGGGTGGTTAGGGCCACGGGGGACTGCATCGGCGCGACCGGAGGGAAGGCCGCTGTCCTCCCGTCCTCCTCCGTGAACTCTTCTCACTCACACCACTCTGACTGTGTTCCTTCCACTCTCGCGGCTGGTTCCCCAAACTGTCTGGAGAAACCTTCGTGCCCCTCCCCCAGGGTCCAGGAGGGGGCGCTGGTGGGACGCGCTAGGAGGACTGCCCTGCGCGTCCGCTCTCGCTCCCGCTTACCCGGCCACCGCAGACAAGGGGGTCCTGACTCGGTTTCCCCACATGGGCCACAAGAGGAGCCAGCTGTCACCCCAGGATCTGCCGGGGCCTCCCGCCTCGAGGAATGTGAGAGACACGCCCACCCCCGCCTGCACCGGGGCACCAGCAGATCCTGGATGGTGCCGGCCCGCGAGTCTGCCCTCGGGCCTCACCTCAGCCAGCGAGCCCCGCTGGACCGACTTGACCACCACGGCCTTGTTCTTCTCCTCGATGTCGAAGCCGTAGTCTTCCTCCTGCGGCAGGATCTGAGGGCCCAGGGCAGAGACCAGGTGAGTCCGAGCAGCGGACTTGGAGCCAGCCCCCCCTCGGCCCCCAGGGGACCGGGATGCCGCCGGCTCCTCGTGCCCCAGTCTGGCAGGGGAGGGGTGCGGACGGCAGGACCGCAGGGAGATGGCCAGACCCAGGCCAGCGAGATGGAGTGAACCACGAACAGCACCTGGCACGCAGCAGGTGTCCCATGTGTACTTGTCACTGACTTAGTGAGTAAAATAGACCAAAGGTGTCCGGCCACCGAGAACTTGGAAATAGGAAGTTCGTGGGGAGCAGCCCCTCACCAGGGCAGAATGACAGGTATGTCGGAAGAAGGTCTGGGGGTTCAGTGGTGCTGGGGACTCGGGGAAACGCATTTATTATTCAGTCAACAAATATTTACCGAGCTGCTACCTACTCTATGGGCCGGGGAGACCACTGGGCGCCGGAGGCACAGTATTGAGCAAGACGGGCGACCAGGCCCTGCTCTCAGGTAGCTGGCTGTTTAGTGGGGGAGAGAGACTACAAACAAATTTAGGACAAAAATACAGAATGTGAGGCAGGGAGTGTGTGCCGTCTGAATTAAAATAAAGCGCTTACGGGGACAGGACATGGCACGGCAAGGGGGCCGGGGTAGGCGGTATCTGAGCCGAGCCTGAATGAAGTAAGAAACAGAACTTCACAAGGAGTGGGGGAAAGTGCTCCAGGCAGCGGGCACGGCATGTGCAAAGGCCCTGAGGTAAGTCCCAAGGCCTTGGAGGACAAGGAGAGAGGTCCCCAGGTGGCTGGGGTAGAGCGAGAAAGTGGGGAGCACAGGAGATGAAGCCCGAGAGGCAGGAAGAGTCTCAACGAGAGGCCAAGGCGAGAGTTTGAACTTTATCCTGAGTGTGATGGGGAGCACTGGAGGGCTCCATGGTGACAGAAATGGAGTCGGGGGGGAGAGCAGCCCAAGTGCTAGGGACAGAAGGCAACGGAGCCGTCTTCAGGTCAGTCAGACTTCGGCGCTAACCCTGGCGGTGGCAAGAGTCCCACATTCTGAGCCTGTGCCCCAACTGCCTACTGCGCGCCATGCGTGCAGATGGGGCTGCAGCTCACCAGCGGGCAGAGAAGCAGGATTTGGGGGCCAGGCTGGCGAGTATCTGAACGGGCTGATGAATGCTCCCCTTAACTGCAAGGATATTTACAGTGACTGGACAGGGACAAGATGCCAGTCTACAAGACCCAAGGCTACAGGGCACGCAGGGTGCGCAGCGCCAGGCTGGGCAGAGCAGACAGAAGTGGGAAGAAAGGGCGCCCACACGCCCAGTCTCCTTTGTAAGAAGGCAGTCTAGACTCCCCCGTACTGTTTGGTGCTCCAAGTTGAGCCCCCTTTTCTCTGGCCACAGTCGGAGGGTTTCCCAGCCCTGGGCCCACAGGTGGGGAGGACGGCGCAGCTGCCCAGCTCTGCTCCTACCAGCAGCCGCTTGGCCAGAATGTTCTCCACCAGCTTGAAGTCGTTGCGAAGCTGTTTGTTCTTGCTGCTGGTTCCCTCCATCTCCTCGTCCGCGTGGAAGCGGAAGTACTGGGACTCGTCCTTGAACTCGCTCTTCTCCAGCACTGCAAACCCACAGACGCACAAGCACGTGGTCAGACTCACGTGGGAGAGTGTCGGCAGCGTCTGCCACCTGGCAGCCACGGGCAGGATCAGCCCCTGGACAAGTTTGGTTTGGCCAACACTGTATTCTATTAAAATGGGATCATGTGCCAACACTAACATGCTAGGATATTTCACATAAAGATCTGGCTTTCCGACTCCTCCTGAAAAATCTGAACTTGCCCCACCTGCTATAAAGCTATGTGACAAAGCCATAGTAACACAAACAGTGTGGAACTGGGGCAGAAACAGAGAAATAAGCAGCACAAAGAACATAACTCACATAAGAGGACTGTGCACTTATGAGAACTCAGTAGGTGATGGATGATAATGACCACACAGAATATTCCACAGATCGTGCAGGAAAACTTAACTCACTCAGCAGGGGGAAAACATCAGATCCCTACCTCACACCATATGCAACAATCAACTCCTGATGGATTAAAGACCTAAATATGAACAGTAAAACTAAAGCTAACCAAACAAAATGTAGGAGAATATCTCCATCCTAGGGTAGAAAAGGAGTTCATGTACAAGACCCCCTTGTATGGTACTAAAATTAAGAACTTCCATCAATAACAACTCCATGGGCAGATGGCAGATTAGAAGATAACTGTAGAGTCTAAAACCAACAGGAAGTAAATATCTAGAATATCAATAGTCTCTAATGAGTCAACCAGAAAAAGCTGAGAAACTCACAGATAAATAGGCAAAGGGTGTGAGTGGGCAACGAACAGGCAGGCAAACCCCACTGGGCAGCAGTGTGTGGAAAGGAGCTCGACCTCACCAGTCATCAGAAATAAACCACAAAGAGATACTTTAGACCAGGGACTGGCAAACAAAAGCCCCACAGGCCAAATCCGGCCCACTACCTGTCCTTATAAATAAAGTTTTATTGTTACAGCCATCTGTTTATACATTGCTTGTGTCTGCTTTCGAGCTTTGAATAACTGTGACAGGGACTCTATGACCCCCAAAGACTAAATTTCTACTATCTGGCCTTTTACAGAAAAAGTGTGCTGATCCCTTTCTAGGACAAGCCAGGAAAATGAATAAAAATAACCAGTAACAACCAATGCATAACCCGACCCTGCAGCTTACAGTTTAACGAAGTACCTGCTAGTGCCAAGCACACTGGGGATGGGTGTGCATGCTTAAGTTCATTTACTCCTTAGACAGGAGGGATTTGCTGTACCCCTTTTATAGATGGGGAGACTGAGGCCCAGAGAAGCTAAATAAACTGCCCAAGGTCACAGAGCCAGCAGGCAGCTCCTGCTTTCCCCACGGTGCCCAGGCAGGCCTGGCAGATGAGGCAGATGAATATAACCAGTGCACAAAGGGGAAACCGAGGCTCAGGAAGGTAAAGGCAATTAGCTGTCAGGTCAGTGGGGCCCTAAAACAAGGAACGCCAGCTGCCTTAGCTGTGAGGCACCCCCGTCATTCCTGGAGACAGGGGCTTTTTCTCAATTCGGTGACTCAATGGAAAGCGGCAGAAGGCGTTTCTTTCTTTGTCCTTGGTTTCCCGGGACAGTTCATGGGGACGCTCTACCTGTTAGTGAGCACCCTCCTCAGGCCACCCCTGTTATTACTTTGGCGAAAACAGACACACAAATTGCTGCCTTCCCCAGAGCTGGGGAGCCAGGCCCCAGGGGGCCGGCGGGCTTCGCCTCTGCTATAAATAAGTCAGAAGATCCCAGGAGTGGGAGGAGGAATCGCAATGTTGTGTCTCGGCCGAATGTCTGGGGAAAACAGCGCGGCATCCCTCAAGTCCGCGACTCAGCCGAGTGGGGGCCAACTTCGACATCTCTCAGTCGCGCTGCTGGTCAGGCTCTGTGGGAGACGCTCGATCTCGGGTCGAATCCCTGCTCAGCCCCTTTCTGACTTCGCGCCCTTGAGCTGCTCGGAGCCCCAGTTCCCTCATCTACAAATATAATATAGTAACAGCTCTGACTTGCCAGGGTGGCTGCGAGGTGAAATGAGGAGCCTCAGTTTCCCCAGAAGTGCCTAAAGTGAGGGGGCTGGGTCCCCGGCCTCGGGCTCCCTGCCTGGAGGCACCGTAGGGCCTGTCGGCTCAGTTCAGACGCCGCAGGAGGCGCCAGGAGGTGCCAGGAAAGGTGGCGCGGAGGCCTCGCCCCACCCTCCGCCCTGCACCCACCCTGTGTTTTGCTGCGGCCACAAGCCCAGGATTAGGCCCTTTCCTATTTTAGCCTATTTTCGAGTTCGTGGCAGGGAACAGGGGAGCAGGGCCACAGCCTGCAATTTCTCTCCCTGAGGGGCCCTAGAGGCATCAGGATTGCCTGGGAGTCACCCCGACACCCCACCCGCGGAATGTCCTCAGCCGCGGCCTTCCGGGAATAGCAGCCAGGAGGACCCCTAATTATCCTCGCCCGCAATGAGCGGCTCTGCCCAGCGGACTGGCGGGGGAGGGGGGCTGGAGCTGTCAGAGGCCCTGAGGGGAAGACAGGAGCTTCTGGGAATGAGGGGCTTTGGTGAGACCGGGTGGATGGGTGAAGATGCCCAAGGCCACCTCGGCCGGGAAACGGGGAGCCGGGCAGTGAGTCCTACTCCCACAGAGCCTGGGCAGGCTCAGCTCAGAGAAGGAGGGGACAGCAAGGGCTCCAGTGGAAAACAGGGGAAACCGAGGCCCAAAGAGGAACATGGGACTACTGGGAGTTGGCTCAGTCAGGCCTAGAACCAGGCCTGCTGGCCACCAGGCAGGGGATGGGCCCGATGGCCTCTCAGCTCGCCAGCACCCAGCTCACTCTGCTGAGGGGATAGCAAACCCAGCAGTCAGACCAGGGTTCACAAAACAATGGCCCACTGCCCGCTTTTCTAAATAAAGTTTTATTGTCACATGGCCACGACCACCTGTAGGTATGTTTATGCTACAAAGGCCCACGACGCCTAAAATATTTGCTGTCTGGCCCTTTCCAGAGAAAGTCTGCCACCTCTGAGATAGAACAGAAAAGCAGAGGCCAGGAAGGAGAAATGGCCAAAAGACCTTCCTGTGACTCGGGGTCTCCCACATCCAACCACTTCTCACCCCTCCACAGCCACCCCCTGGGTCCCTGCCACACTGTCCTTCCCCTGGACTATCACGGCCACCTCCCACTGGCCTCTCTGCTTCCTCCGCCCCAACCCTCACCCCCAGACGGCTCTCCACGGCAGCCAGAGGACCTTGTAGAACCCACGTCGGCCACGTCCGGCTCTGCTCAGAACCTTCCCGGGACTCCCACCTCACTCGGGGTAAAAGCCGAAGTTCTCCTCACATGCCCACGGCCTTCAAAACTCCATAAAATGTACGGTTTGGTTTTTGTTTGGTTCACAAGCGCACACACACATGAGGCTGTGAGCTCCCCAGGGCAAGACTGTGCTCTGTCCTGGCCACGGCTCTGTCCCCAGAGCCTAGCACAGCGCCTGGCACACATGAGACACTGCTGGATAACACAGAAAGACAAAGGCAGAAAGGATGAGTGGGATCCGTCTACGTCTATGAGGGACAGAACAGCTCCTTAAAGAAAAGCGAACCTGAGTGAGGGACAGTGATGAGGGGAGGGGCTATGTTAGCTGCGGGGTGGGGAGGGGCTCACCAGGGAGGTGTCAGCTGAGCCAAATCCCTGAATCACATGCAGGGGTGAGGTAGGAGAGCACCCTAGCCAAGAAAGACCGCAAGTGCAAAGGCCCTGAGGAATGTTCTAGGAGTAAGAAAAAGGCTCCTTGGCAGAGGTTAAAAGTTTTTTCTTTGATATTTTTAGGGAGAGAGGCTTGCTCTATTGCTCAGGCTGGAGTACAGTGGCGTGATCACAGCTCACTGTAACCTCGAACTCCTGGGCTCAAGTGATCCTCTTGCCTCAGCCTCCTGAGTACCCTGGACTACAGGTTCATGCCACCACACCCAGCTAATTTTTAATTTTATTTATTTATTTATGTATTTTTATAGAGATGGGTCTCACTATGTTGTTCGGGCCAGTCTTGAACTCCTGGGCACAAGGGATCCTCCCACCTCAGCCTCCCAAAGTGCTGGGATTACAGGTGTGAACCACTGTGCCCGGCCAGCAGGGGTTAAACATTTACCTGCACCCCTTAAAGGATAGGAGACTCAGGGCTCCCCCAAGGCCGGCAAAGGGAGAGGCTGCAGAGCACAGCGGTGGAGCGTGTGGCCTGAGAGGCCAGGCTGCCCGGGTTCTGATCCTGACTCCAGGTTATGTGAGTTCTAATCCTGGCTCCTACTTGCCATGTGACCTTGAGTAAGTTTCCTATTTGAGCTTATCCTCCCTCATATATAAAACGGAGATGATATTAATACCAACATCAAAGGACTGCTGTAAGGCTTGAACTAATAAATACAAGGCAAGTGCTCAGAAAGAGACCAGGCACACAGAGCATTCACTTCTGCTTTCATTTAAACAGCTGTCAGTGGGACCATTTTCTCCTCCTCCTCCCCCGCTTGCCCCCTCGGGAACACCTCGGACCGTCCCCCTCTCCACCCTCACACCTGCCTGTCTCCCTGTGGGAAGAGGAGCAACTTATCTGAGGGGTGAGGCCGGGACGAGGCACGAACGTCCCAGGAAGGCTTCCTGTCCTCACCACAGCCCGCCTGTCGCTGTTCCCACAGGACCCGTCTCCTCTCCTCCCCGGAGCCCCCAGGCCAGGTGGCACCATCCCGCCGCACGGCCCACCCTGGGGGGCCACCCCCAGTGCAGGAAGAAGGGCACGGGAAGCCCACGGATCGGACTTCAAACCCGGGCCGGGTTTTTCCGGTCAAGCTTTTCGGGCCACTTTGGTCCCCGCTGGACACCTGAAGCGGCGTCTCCATCGGTACAGAACGGGGAGGGGAAAGGGTGGGACCCATGAGCCAGCCGACCCCCAGGGTCTACAGAGCCACAGGCCTGGCTTCAGTCCCCCTCCCCACTTTGTCAGCCACCAGCTCTTGTGCGCCCGGACACACAGCCCAGGGAGCGAGGCCCCAGAGGCCGGGCTGGGGGCAGGGGCAGATTACCGTGGTGCATGAAGCCATTGTTGCACAGGCCCACGCCGAGCGCCACGGCCTCCTCCCGAGTCTGGCAGTCTCCCTGGAAGGGAACAAGAAGGGCGGGGTGAGCACAGCTGGTAAAAAGCCTATAGCCCCCCGAGAACGTAGGCTCCTCAAGGCCTGGGATCTTTTGTGTTACTGCATTACCCCAAAAACATGTTCATGATGATTACTAATAAACTCCCAACAAGATGATTTTATTGTACTTGTGATCAATGCTACAAAGAAAAAAGGAGATTGTAAGTGGCAATGTTGGTGGCCTAGAAAGAACCCTTTCCCAATCCCTCCCTCGTAGTGGAACCCTCACCCATCTCCAGCCTCCCTTGCAGCTAGAGGTGGCCACAGAGACACAAGCAGAAATCACTGGTAGGACGCCCTGGCAGAAGCCCCCTTTTCTTTCTCTTCCTTCTGCCTGGAACAAAGTAGTGATGGCTGCACCTCCCACAATCATCCTAGACCACACCGTGCCCTCGAGGTTGGAAACATGCTACGGCAGGCAGGGCAGAAAGACACGGTGTGGTCCCCAAAGCTATGATGAGACTGCCCTGGCAGCTCTGGACCTCCAACCTCTGGGCTCCTCTCATGCAACAGAACATACGGCCTGATTTGTCTCAGCCTCTGTTGTTGTGTCTCTAATACTAGAAACCAAGTTCCACTGCTAACAGAGCAAGCTCTAGCCCAGGCGTCCTCAAACTACGGCCCTCGGACCACATGTGGCCCGCCGAGGACATTTATCCAGCCCGCCGGGTGTTTTTGCCACCGCTGCCTGTCCTGCTTAGCAGCCGACTCGTCCGGGGCCCACAGTGCGCATGTGTGGAATGTGCACCGCACTCTCCAGCGGCCCTCCAACGGTCTGAGGACAGTAAACTGGCCCCCTGTTTAAAAAGTTTGAGGACCCCTGCTCTAGCCAGTGAGACAGCTGGGGAAGCCTAGCGGCGGCTTCTGGAAACCGCCTTGCTCCCTTGATAAAAGGGAAAAGCAGCACCGACCCTCCCTACCTGGGACAAAGTCACGTGAGAAAGTGACACTTAGGGCGGTGGCAGCCACCCTGTGACCGAGACGGCAGACACCACTGAGATGCTAAGGGCAGCACAGTGAAGGACGGAAGGCTCCTGGGTCCTTGCTGACACTGCTGAGTCCACAAACCAGCCCTGGAACCACCCAGTTCCCCAATTCTTGGCAGGTGTCATCTGTTAAAGCCACTGTTTAGGTGGCTTTTTTACCTTTGCAACCGAAAACATTCCAAACGGATACAATCTGAACCACGGAGACCTGGCTCATGACACCCAACCCCAAACCTGAAGAATGGCACACGTGTGGCCTATGCGCTAGGCATCTGCTGGTTCCACCTTCGAGGTCAACTCTCCCAGGTGGAATGTCACCTCGGTGGGGCTGTCCATCACAGTTTGCCACCCTCCTGGACCAGGCTGAGGACATGCGATCCCCGCTAAGCCAACGGATGCCCCCTGCCCCAGGAACGTGACACTGGAGCGCAGGAACCCGAGGACAGGGAACGGTTCGTGCTGATTCTCCCCAACAGCCAACAGCAGTGTCCTGAAGACGGCGTCCCCCAGCGGCAGCTGCTTGGGGTTTCCTGGTGCCAGTTATTTCTTAGGCCTGCCTCCTGGGTCCCCCGAATCTGCGAGGGCCCCATCTTTTTCCAATAAGTTGTCTTCTTTTTTGTCCCCCTGAAATTAGCCAGTCTGTTTCTGTCGCTTGCAACCCAAATAACCTTGACTCGTCCAGGCCACGTGTGCGAGTGGCACATAGGCACACAGGGGCAGGGGTGTCGGGCAGAGGGAACGGCAGGAGGTGGGAAGGTCAGGAAGGCAGGGGCGAAGGCCTGGAGGTGGGCAGAAGCCCAGAGCGCAGGAGGAAACACGACATGCTGGCACAGGGAGGGTGGGGCGGGTCCGTGGGCCCGGAGTTTGTGCTGCTGCGTCCCTGCTCCATCCTAAGTGCCAGGAACGGGGCCTGGCCTGGAGCCAGTGCTCAGTAAGGATTAATTTTGTTGATTAAATAAAGGAGTCGTCAGCAGGGGCCAGGTCACGCAGGAGCTCGTGGCCAGGTCAGTGAGCCTCAGCTCCACGCAGACCGCCACGGGGCACGGCCCCCTCTCACCGACTCCCAGAGTGAGAAATCCCGCGGGGCCCTGCCCGTCCTCTGCCACGGCGGCTGCTGGGGTTGCAGGGGGTGTTTCCAGTGGGGGGAGACGTGAGGAGCGCTGTTCAGAGGCTGCGGACTCCGCCCTGGGCAGAGGGCCTGTGGACAGCCTCTGGCCTCGGCATTTCACCACACTGCCTGCCCTGGGCTGACTCGGAAAAGACAAATGCCTCCCTCGGGACCCGACGCCAGTGGCTGGAGGGCCAGCGTGCTCGGAGCCCCGCCAGCGCAGGCGGCTGTGACAGGCCACATCCGGAGCAGCCGCCTCCCAGCTGCGAGGGGCCAGCAGGGGACAGACGGCGGCCGGAGGTGGGCAGGCCCAGCTTCGCAGCCGGGGAGGCCCGGGCGGGCGTCTGGAGCCCAGCTGGCTCTCCGAGGCGCTCGCGGCCCCGTCTCCCCGTTCTCCCCACCAGGCCCAGGGGTGACATCCCAGAGGCCCCTAAACTTAGACGAGCACCAAGTTCTCGGGTGACCAGTGAGGTGGGAGGGCCCGGATGCACCACCTGAAGAGGAAGCCCACCCACCTCCCTCCAGCAGTCCCTGAAGGGGGCATTTTCTCCCACCAGGAGGGAGGTGTGGACAGGGAAACTGAGGCTCAGAAGAGCAGTTAGCTACCCAGGCTTATAGCCAAGGTTCCTGTTCCTATTCATCCTTTGTTTCTTTTCCCTGTACCTCAAGCTGCCGGCGGGCTCTCTGCCTCCCCCAGCCTGAGCCCACACGCGTGCTGAGGGCCCTGCTGCCCTCACCGTGCCATCTGCCTGCACATGGAGTCAGCGTGGCGGACACCTGGGAACCTTTCTGCAGAGCCAGCATGGGAGTCCGCAGCTCTGTGCCCTCCTGCACCTGTCCTCTGCCCTCCCCCGCCCCAGCCCACTGACCCCTGCCCGACATCTGGCAGCCGCAGCCTGGGGCACCCTGGAGCCCACGCAGCAAAGACCCCAAACCACCGAGAGCAGCTGGGGTCCCCAGGTTCAAACCCTGCTCCGTCCTTGACCTTGGGCAATCCCTTAACCCCTCTGACCAGCCCCCACCTCTGTGCACGACACAATCCCCCCTCCTCCTCCTCCCACATGCTGTCCCCTCCACCTCACTGGCACCTAGCACCAGCGGACACGTCATATGTTTTACTTGCTTTTCTTACTTATCACGTGTCTCTCCTATCCCTCCCCAGAATTTACGGCCTGTGGCAACAGGGACTTCTGTCGGTCTTGTTCCCTTCGTTGTCCCTAGAACCTAAAACAGTGCCTGGTACCTAGTAGGTACGTAAAAAATAATTTTTTAAAAAAGAAAGATGAGCTAATGTGCCCTCTCGGCTAATTTCTCTACAATCTCTTCTCACCCCTCGTTTCAAATACCACCCAAAAGCTGACAAGGAACAGACCACCCGCAGCGGACAGCCACCTGAGGTCCAGGTGTGTGAAGCCTGCCCTCTCCCCGCCCACCCGCTGAGAAGCCCAGTGGCACCTCCCGTGCCCAGAGAGAAGGCACGGGTCTCCCCACGCACTCCCACCCGTCTCCCCAGCTCCGACAAGGGCATTTCCATCTGCCCATCACTCCGATCCCGGGACTCAGTCTCCATTCCCAGCCCATTCCCACAACAGCGTGTCCGTCCACTCCGGCTCTAAACACTTCCAAGCCCCACTGACTTCCTGCATGTCTGTGACCCGCCCCGCCCCCAGCCCATGCCTGGGGTCCACCGGGGAGCCATGTCCACACTACAGACGGCCCTGCACACCAAAGCAGCTCAGTGGGAAACATGAGGCCACGGCGAAGTCCACAGTGGTGAGAAGTGGCCGTCTCAGAGGGCCCCGGGACCCTGGCCTGTCTGGGGCTGACCAAAGCACCTAAACCGCTAGACAAGCACCCCTGTGGTGCCCGTAGCCTGTTCCAGCACATTGGGAAGGCGGGACTGTGCAGACTGCCACTCCTTCGTTTCTTGGTCTTACTGTTCCCTGCGCCCCCAAATCCCTGCACAATTTCTTTATTCTTCTGCACTGCAGGTAATTCTGAGCCCCCTGACTCCTTGGTGAAGGAGACAAGGAATAACAATGATGGCTGCAGCTACTGAGCATTCCTCCGTGCCTGGCACCGCCGTGAGCACTTTACATGATCGCCCTGAATCCAGCCAGCAAACTGCTTTCAAATGAAATGAAGTTTTTATGAATGCTAAATTTAACGATTAATGAGGCTGACATAAAGCAGCGCTCTGTAGCTGTTTAATTAAACATTTATCCATTTTGATTTCACAGGTGTCTCCTGTTCTTTTATAGACCTCGAATGGACATTCCTGCGGGCTCCCTGAAAAATGCACAGAACCGAAACACGAGTGGGTCTGATGGGCTTGTCCGAGTCTCATCTTTGCCACTGCGCCTCTCTGGGCCCCAGTCCCCATGTGTAAATGGGTTGGGAGACTCAACCAGATAATGCACAAAGCCTGCCAGGGTCTGGCTGAAAGTAAATGTCCTGGGATCACAAGCCATAAAGGAGAAGGGACAGGCACCTAGGCATGTCTGTGGCACCTGACGGAGCAAACACCTTTGGGAGATTGCAGCAAAATTGATGCATAGATCTTCCAAGCCTCTGGCTAGCTCTTACCCATTGGAAACTTTTCTGAAAGGAACAACTGGGCAAGCTCCAGAGGCTCCAGTTTGGTGCCAGGATGAGACCAACCTGTCCCAGTTTGCCTGGAGCCATGCGAGTTTTAAAACTGAAAGCCCCAACATGGAAGCAACCCATGTGTCCTTGGATGGATGGATGGATGGATGAACACAATGCAGTTTACACATACTGCTACAATTTGAATGTTTTTGTCCCCTCCAAATTCATGATGAAACTTGATCCCATTGCAACAATGTTTAGAGGTATGGCTTTCAGGGGGTGACTGAGTTTTTAGGGTGAAGCATTAGGCATCCTTATAAATGGGCTTGACGCAGGCAGTCCGCCCCACCATCCCTGCTACTGCGGGACACGGCATTCCTCCCCTCCAGAGGAAGTGGGAACAAGGAGCCATCGCAGAGACAGATCAGGCCCTCACCAGACACCGAACCTGCCAGCACCTTGATCTCGGGCTCCCAGCCTCTGAAACTGCGAGAAATAAATTTCTGTTCTTTATAGATTAGTCAGCTCAGGTATTTTTCGTAACATCAGCACAAACATACTGAGATACAGACAATGAACTATCATTCAACCTTAAAAGGGAAGGAAATTCTGACACAGGATGATCCTCGCCCAACACCGACGAACCTTGAGGATGTTACTAAGCTAAGTGAAATAAACCAGTCGCAAAGGACAAATATTGTGTGACTCCACTTACACAAAGTGCCTAGATTAGTCAAGTTCATACAAACAGAAAGTAGAAGGGTGGAGAAGGGTGGCTGCCAGGGGCTGGGGGAGGGAATGGGGAGCTGTTTAATGAGGACAGAGTTTCAGTTTGGGAAAATTAAAAGAGGTTTGTGGACAGATGGTGGTGATGGTTGTATAATAGTATGAATATATTTAAATGCCACTGAACTGTCCACTTAAAAATGGTCAAGATGGTTTTTATGTTATGTGTATTTTGCCACAATAAAAACAATAACAGAATCTTTTTTTTTTTTTAAATGAAAAGCCCACATCCAAGGACAAAGGGAGATGGTGGTCACACACCTCCCAACAGGTCTCACCTGGGCCAGCAGCCAGTCCACCAGCTTGCTCCCGGGCAGCACCGACTTGTATGTCTTCAGGTGGTAGTCGCGGTCCCTGCGGGGAAAGGCAAGTGCAGGTGAGTGGCAAGGAGGAGGGTGGCAGGAGCAGCTCTGACCGCCCTGCTGGCCGTGCCCAGGAGTCAGGGACTCCCCGGCTACCTGGGCACTGGGCAGGGGTCCGAGTCTCGGCCCACACTCCACACCGAACTTGCAGCACCACCCAGGGCCGGGGGGCTCTACCCTAGACCTCCACTCGCTAAAGAGTGGGGACAGAAGGAGACGCTGTGGGCCACCCGAAACTCTCTCACTAGCCAGGGGACCTCAGCTGGCGCGATTCTGCCCTCCAACAAACACTAAGCTATGTCTGGAGACATTTCTGGCTGTCTTGACCTGGGGAGCCAAAGCAGGGGGTGCTAATGGCATCTAGTGGGCAGAGGCCGAGATGCTGAACATCCTATATGCCCAGGACGGACTGATCCTGGCCAAAACGTCACTCGTGCCAGAGGGACCCTGGTTTACTCTAACAGAGCAGGGGAAAAACTCTCAGTCCTCGTCTTTCCTTTATCTCTCTGGTTGTTGACATCCGTGTTTAGAGGTAACGAACTGCACGGACGCGGGAAGCCCTCTCCTCGGGGCTGCCGTGGGCTCCTGGGACGGAGCGGGGGGCGAGGCCGGCGCTCTGCCCTGGCACGGCACCTACATTTCTGCCAAGCCTCGGTGCGATCACTGACCTTGGGGCGAAATTGCAACAATTCCTCAGCCTTTGAAGTCAACACAAATGAGCTCACGCGGCCAGCCTGCGTCAAGGCCGATAAAGAAAGTCTAGCAGGGGAGTGTTTCCCAGGCGTCAGGAACTGGGGGTCCGGCAGGCTGCACTCGCAGTAAGCGGAGGCTGATGCCCACCCTGCCGCCCCTCCTTCCAGGGCGACCGGCAGCCCTGCCTGCCTCCCCTTCCCGGCCGCACACAGGGGCAGCAGCGGAGGAGCCAAGAAGGGAGGAGGCGGGACTGGAGATGAAAGAGGTTCCCAGGGCCTGACCTTCCCCCAGGAAGAGGTTCCCTCATCTCCACGCCTCTGAGAGGTGACAAAAGCTATCAGGACAGGGGGGCAGGGGAATCTGCAGCTGGGGTAAGAACAGGTCACCCTCTCCGTCCCTTCATCCACAACTTTAAGTTTCATAGTCATTTAAATCCATGGCATTTACGGTGCCAGGAGCCACGCAAAGCGCCTCTGTGAATGTCGTAATCCTCACGGCAACCCAACAGGCACGAGCTGTTCTTCTGCCCATTTCACAGATGCAGAAACGGAAGCAAAAGAGGTAAATGACCTTTCGACATTCACTCAACAATCACTTACTGAGTGCTGTTTTGCCCTGGGCCCGTGCTCTCCAATGTGCAGTCGTTTTAATTTAAATTTCAATCAATTAATATTAAATCAAGTTAAAAATCACATTCCTCAGTCTCAAATGTTTGAAAGCTGCGCGCGACCGGTGGCAGCTGTATCAGACAACGCAGCCAGGGAGCATTTCCGTTAGCGCAGAGTCCTGCTGGGTGGCGCGGCCGCAGGTGCTGCCCAGGGACCCGGCAGTGGAGACTCCCCTCGCCCTCAGAGAGTTAACGGCTCAGCGGGGGGGACAGACAGGACACAGGTAAACGAATATATAAGATGACGAGTAGGGATCAGTTTTAGGAAGAAAACCAACGGAAGGAATGACGGAGGGTACCAGGGTGACGCTGCTCTATAAAGGTGGTCAGGGAAGACCCCGCTGATATGGAGACACCCGAAGGAAGTGAGGGGCAGACGTGGAGATGTGGACAGCTAGAGCATCCCAAGCAGAGGGAACAACAAGTGCAAAGGCCCTGAGGTGGCTCCCACTATTGTCCCCAGTCTGCAGAGGAAAGAGCTGAGGCACAGAGAGGCTCCACAGCTCTGCCCAGGGCCCCAGCTGGTCTCCGGCAGATGAAAGCTCAGCCCGTCTGGCTCCAGAACCGACCCCTGTCGCCGCCACACTGCAGCCCTTCCCACAAACACGCTCCCGTGACCCTAACCACAGACCCACAGGGAAGGTGACTCCCAGCCCCATCTGGTGGACAAGGAAACTGGGGTTCAGAGAGGTTAAGTCGCCGGCCCCAGGCCACACAGCTGAGAAGAGGCAGAGGAGAAACTGAGCTTGGAACGAGTAACTTACTTGATCACGGGGGTGTAGAGGCTGTGGAGACGGCAGTAAAGCCTCACCCCCTGGAAGAAGAAAAGGGGGATTCTGGGATCAGGCTGCATCCTTCAGGAGCCTCCAAATCCAGGCTGCCGGGAGAGCGCAGGGCGATGGGGCAGGCGGGGGAGGGAGAGAACAGGCCGCTGGGGCGCAGGTCTGCTCTGCGGTGACTTCACGGGGTACCTCCTGGGGGTCCGGGTGGGGGTCCCTACCTTGGACATGATATCCTCCAGCTCACTCCGCGCCTTGAAGGTGCCATCGTCGTAGCGGAAGCGATACATCACCTGCTCGTTCTTGAACTGGTGCTTGTCAGAAACTGGGGGCACGGGAGGGGGCGCCGTGAGGCTGGGCACAGCCTCGGCCCCTGCCGACCACGCTCCCCCATCACTCGTTGCTGGCCAGGCTCCGGGCCAGGCGTGATTGCACCGACCCCTGCCCACGCCCCAGTGAGGTAGGCGCCATAACCTCCCTGTTTCGCCCACGAGGAATCTCCTGCTGGGTGCGGGCCCTGCTGACACCTGTAGCGTGGGCCAGGACACCTGCAGGGTGACGGGCCCAGAAAGGCACCTGGGCCGGCCTGCACCAGGCTCAGCATGTCCTGAGACCTAGATTCCCAATGGACGTGTGGGGACCCAGCATGCTGGGCTAGGAGACCACCGCTGAGATTTATGGAACAGTCTCAGGACAATGGCCTTGAAGTCGTCCTTGATGCTTCGGGTCCATGAGCAAAGCCGGTAAGGCCTGACCTTCAAAGTATCAGTCATCTGCCTCCTACACTCGCACCCTGGTCCGAACCACCTGCAGCCCCCGCCTGGGCGCTTACATCATGGCAGCCTCCTCGCTGGGCTCCCTGCCGCCACCCGCGGTCCTAACAGGTCCTACCAGGCCACTCTCCGAGAGAGGCCAGAGGGATGCTGTTAAAGCAGGTCTTTCCTCCACGCGGAGCTCAGTGGTGCAGCCACCGCACTCAGAGTAAAAGCCAAAGACCCCACGACCCCCCTGTTCTCTCCCCGTCAGCCCGTGCCCTCTGCCCTCCTCTCCTAACCCTCCCCTGCTTGCTCTGCTGCTCCCTGCACAGACCACTCTGACTCCTGCCTGGGGACCTGGCACTGGCTGTTCCCGCCGCCGCTGGACACACGGAGCCAGCTGGCCCCTCCCTCGCTGCTCAGGTCCTGGGCCCCATGTCACCTTCTCAGCGGGGCCTCCCCAGACCGCCCTGCTCAAGAGGGAACCTCGGCACCCACGCTCCTCATCCTCCCTCCCTCTCTCCCCAGACCAGCCACTAGCTACACACACACACACACACACGTGTTTACGATCTTATCATCTTCCCCTTCCAGCCACAAGGCCAGCTCCGCCAGGACAGGCAATGTCCACCTCTCCCGCTCACTGCCTGCCACGCAGGGGCCACTCAGTAAGTATTTGCTGAATGATTAAAATGTGAACAAATGTTTCTTACTCTTTTTTAAGGGAATTTTCTATCTAGAAATTTCTAGATTTCTAGGGGAGCAGAATTTTCTAGATAGAAAAATTCTGCTCCCCTACCCTCAACTATTCCAGGTGCCCTGCTTTTGCTGGTGCCCTAGCTGAATTCTGGGTTTTGCAGCCCTGGAAGCAATTTTGTGAGAGCAACCACGTTTCTGAGGGCCACGCTGTGCCCAGGGAGTGAGGCAGCTGCACAGAAGTACAGAAACAGCCTCTGGGTTGCTGGAAGCATGGCGCCGCTGGGGTCTGGCCTGTCCATGTCCATTGGCCCAGCTGGGCCCAGCCCCCACTCACCGTGGTGGATAATACCATTCTCCAGCAGGGCTTGGCCCAAGTTGACTCCTTCTTCCATCTTGCTGATTTCGCCAATTTCCAGAAGCCAGGCAACGAACTCACTGCCAGGAACATAAGATGCCACTGAGAGGACTTCCCCAGTCCTGGGACCACAGGGACCAGCACTAAGCTGGCCTGGCCACACCCACCCCAGGAAACCCAATTAAGATCTTCCCACAGAGAAGCAAAGCCTAGGACCCCACAGCTCTTGGGCTTATACTGAGGCCTTATGCTTTCCTAGTTACCAGTGGCAGAGGAGTGGGTGTGGCCAGGGCCCCGGCCTGCCTCAGGGTCGATGGATGGATGGGTGGGTGGGTGGGTGGGTGGATGGATGGATGGATGGATGGATGGATGGATGGACGGACGGACGGACGGGTGGGGGGGGGGGTGGATGGATGGGTGGTGGATGGACGGACGGACGGACGGACGGACGGACGGACAGGTGGGTGGGTGGGTGGGTGGATGGATGGGTGGGTGGGTGGATGGATGGAGAGGTGGATGGGTGAGTGCATGGATAGATGGATGGATGAGATGGGTAGATGGGTAGGTAGGCAGATGGGTGGGTAGATGAGTGAGTGGGTGGACAGAAGGGTGAATGCGTGGATGGGCAGGTGGATGGACAATTGATGGATAGCTGGATAAATGAATGAACGGATGTCCAGGCAGGTGAATGGGTGACTTAATGAATGGACAGATGGATGACTTGATAGGGAGATAAATGACTGGGCAGATGGGAAGATCATGGAGGTGGAAGGTCAGTGACCAGAAGAGTGGGTGGACTGACAGGGGTAAATGGGGTGGGGTGGACAGATGCACGGAAGGAAGCAGCAAACAAGGAGAAATGACAGGAAACCCTCCCAAAGGGTTTCCCATCACTCAAAAAAAAAAAAAAGAAAAAAATCCAAACTCTGCCCACATGTCAACAAACAAGGACCTGTCTGACCCACCCCCAGCCCGGCTCATCTCAGCCCTCCTCCTCTCACTTACGCCTGAGCCACACGCACCACCTCTTCCTTCGGGGACAACACCAGACTCCTGTCTGCCTCAGGGCCTTTACACTTGCTGTTCCCTCTGCCTGGAAACACCCTTCCTCCACTCTTCGTGTGACTGTTCCTTTTTATCCTTTCGGTCTCAGTGCAAACGTCACCTCCTCGGAGAAGCCTTCTCTGACTACCTCACCAAAAATAGTCCCCTACCCAGACACAATCCATCACGTCTGTTTTACTTCCTCTTCTGCACTTGTCACTGTCTGAAGTAGTCTTGTTTGCAGATTTATTTGTTTATCAGCCAACTCCCCCAACCGGAACATCCTCCCCATGCAAGTGGGGGCTGTGGTCTCGTCCACACACTGGCCTAGCACCTAGACTCGGACCTAATGCACAGCGGGCTCGGTACTCATTCATTGAACAAATGAAGGAATGACCCATTAAACAAGAAGGAACGTTCTGGGCTCCGCAGGAAGGCCTCAGGAAGACAGAAGCGCTCACAGGCCAGAGGATGACAGGCAGCTTTTCCGACTCCAGCGTGACTGTCCGGGGCACAGAGGCTCCGCCAGGCCCCCAGGTCCTGGAACTTGGGGGCGCTCCTCGGGCCTGGCACGCAGCTCAACCCACTCGAGTCAGCAGGAAAGGGGCGAGCCTGGAACGGGCCGTTTCCGCCCAGGCAATCTGTGTGCAAGGGAGGCAGGCGGCAGCTGGCCAGAGCACGCGCTCCCCTGCTTATCGAAACCAGCTGTCCCGCCTCCAATTACAGGCCAGAGGCGGCAGAGCTATTTTTAGCTTCGCAGTGTTAGCCGAGCAGACGCCCGCCTTGCGTGTAGGTAGCGTGTGTGCTGGGACGTTCACAAAGCTCCACATGAGGCAGGGGGGGCAGAGAAGAAATGGATCTGTTTCATGGAATGGGACCCCAGATGGGGAAGAGATTGTTCTGGGTCCCGTCCACCCCCAGTTCCATTCTCAAAGTCCCAAAACTCAGGGGCAGGGAGAAGCTGCCAGCAGCTAAAGGAGGTGAGCAGATGTGTGCGTGCCCACTTGCGGAAGCCGCAGTCCAGCGTCCGGCGGCCCACCAGCTGTCCGAACGGGGGCGGCCTGGCACTGGCCAGCACCCCTGTGGCCAGGGTGAGGGGACAGGAAATGTCCCACAGCAGCTGCCGGAACAGAAGAGGACAGCCACTCTGCCCCGTGTTTCTGCCCGGTCTGCGTCCTGCTACCTCCTCGGGGATCAAGAAGGGTTCACAGCTCGCTGAACAAACTTGGGCAAGTCACTGTCCCTCTCTGGGCCTCAACAGAGTCCATCTGGCAAGTGGTTCACTCGGGGGCCTTCTGGATTTAGCAGGTAAACTTTTAATCGTGTGAAATCTTACACTGGGATCCAGTATGCAAAACCCGGCAAAATTCACATCTAAGGCAGGGACCTCGGACTCTAGTAACAGGCGAAACAGACCAGGTGCAGCCCGCGCCATGCCAGCCCGCGCCTGCCACATCTGCAGGCGGCGCCACTCCTCAGGGGAGGGCCGGGGCGCATGGGAAGACTACAGCATCTAACAACTTTTCAAGAGAAGGCGGAAATCCGGCATTTCCTGTGAAATCTCCCGATTGTTAAATGTTGATATCTAATCCAACATTTTCTGAAAACACCACGTGGGCCAAGGAAAACACGCCTGCGAACTGCCGTGGGTCAGCGGGGTGCCGTCTGCCACCACCGGGGTGCAGGGAAGAGCACGCCGGGCGGCAGGGCTGGCACGCACAGCGGCCCTGGGAGCGAAGTGAGCCCGGGACACCAGGCTCCGCCAGGGGACGAGGGGCTGGTGCAAAGCACAGCAAGGTCCAGGCTTCTGAAGACTCAGATGGACACAGCTCGAGGACACCCAGCTCGATGGGGCGTCTGGGACTTGGGGGTGGAGATGACCGGAGCTTGAACAGGTGCCGGTTTTCATCCCTCCTTCCGCCCCGGCCCCTGGAATCATCCCCCAGTAAACACTGACGCAGCCGACCACATGTCCAGGCCGAGGCTAGGCGCAGGAAGCACGCAGGTACGCCTTTACAGTCTTGCTGAGAAAGCACCTGAGCCGAGGCCCCGTGTGACACCTGCCACCCAGCACGACACTCCCGTTCCCGACCCTCGCTGGGCCGTGGGGCGAGAGGGTAGGGACTGAGGGTTTGATAGCCATCCTGGAATTCCACTGCCCGAAGCTGCTTCCTGAAGATGGCCGCATCTGACCGTTACTGACCATCTGCCGCACGCTGAAACCCTGCACCTGGCACACAGGTGGCCCTGCCAGCAGAGCACCGTCCCCCCCCCACCGGAGCTCTCACCCTGGCAGGCGCCAGTAGCTGAATGACGTCTAATCCGTCCAGGGTGAAACCAAAGGCCTTCTCCTCCCAGGAAGCTTTCTCTGACTGCCCCTGCCAGACACCTTGTCGCCCTGGTCCCCTGAGCTCCAACAGCTCCAACGGTGCCCTCGTTCTGGGCCTGTATGACAAGTTACATCCTCATCTCACTCTCCCAGTGGCTCCCCAGGGCACCCAGAATAAGAGCTGTACCCCTTACCAAGGCCCTGCCTGCCACGGCCCCTGCTGACTGCGGTGACCTCGTCTCCCACTCTCCAGCCACTCACTACCTCCAGCCATGAGGCCCTCCTCGCTGCTCCTCCATTACTCGCCGCTCATTCCAGCCTCAGGGCTCTTGCACCTGCTGTTCCCTCAGCCGGAAATGCTGTTCCACGCCCCTCATGGCTGTCCCTTGCTTGTCATTCAGCTCTTGGTTAAAATGTCACCTCCCCTAAGAGGCCCTCTCTGGATGAACCAGCCTCCCATTTCCTCTCCTCCTGACATCACCCCACTTATTTCCTTATAGCATTCAACAACTCGCTGAAATTCCCGTCTTTATTTACGTTCGTCCACTTTTCTGTTGTCCGATTCCCCCACTGCACGGTTATCTCCAGGAGGGCAGGGATTTTGTCTGTCTGTTCCCTGCTGGCACATAGCAGGGACTCAGTGAACACTGAGCGAGTGAGTGAATGAATGAATGAATGTTGTCTCCTCAACCAATCTGAGCATGCTGGAGGACAAAGTCATGTTCTTCCCACGTTACCCTCCACAACAATACACAGATTTTATTCTGTGTTTGTCTTTAATGTGGCATCGATTAGTTTTTTCTCTGAGTAGGGCAGAAACAGGCCCCTCCTTAATCTACATGACTACACAGTACATCGCCCACGGCCCCACACGCGTGTCCATCACTCTTGCCAGGACTGAGCACGTCACATGTGTCATCTCACTGAATCCTCCAACAATCCTACCAGGTATGTTTTATTATCTCTCTTTAAATGATCATCTACTGAGGCTCAGAGTTAAGAAACTTGCCTGAAGCCACACAGCTAGAAAGAAACAAGGCTTAAGCCCAATTATGACCCAAAGCCCAACCCTTAAAGGTTATAAAGATAAGCCAGACACTTTTCGTACTCACAGAGTTCCCCATCTAGTGGCAGAGAAAGAAGTGGAGAAAGTAACCACCAAGGACAAATGAAATGTGCTATACGGAGATAAGAATGACTAAATGCAGCAGAGTACAGGGGGACAGAGCACATCTCTGGAGTCACCCAGGCCTGGGTTCAAACCCAGACCCCCGCTGTGGCTTTCTGACCTTTCCCCCCTCTAGGGTTCAGTGTCCTTACCCTTACGATGGGGACCAAGGCAGTAACCTGCCTCAGTGTCGTGTGAGGATTGAAACACGTGACCAGACACCAGCATGGGGAGCAAGGGGTTTGATAAGCATGTCTCTGCAGCTACGAGGTCCTTCCGCCCAAGGACCAGCATCACACCTTGGAGAAGACTCAGTCTCTGGCCCGGCGGGGAGGGAGGATCAGCAGCCTCAGGCTGGGTGGAGGCAAAGCCGTGCAGGGAGAAGAGCGTTGCTAGAACAGTCTCCTGCAGGAAGCCCGGGCCCTACGCAGCTGCGGTTATAAGACGAGCTGCGGTCCTGGCCCTGTGTCAATGGGCAGCGAAAGAAATCTCCCCTAATCCTTCCTGAGGAGGCAGAAAACTGCTCTGAAGCTCTAATCACGGGCGGGTTATCCCATCCTGCTGGACGAGGCCGCTTGGCAGGAGGCAGAAGGTTCTCCAATGCCAAGGGGCCCGGAAGCCGCCCCTCCTGAGACTAAGGCTCTTCTGTGCCCGGGATTAGGGATTAGCTGGCGGAGACCCGCCAGGCCACCCCAGCCCGCAGGACTCCCAGGGCCCGAACTCTCCTCTCCACAGACCCCCTGAGGGAGCCCGGGGCTGGAGTTCCTGACTCTCAAGGGCAACAAGATGCCCGAGTGCAGCCTACCCCACCGCCCCTGGGACCTCCCGCCGCTGCCTCTCAACCCCAAGCCTCAGGCCCCCACTGCCAGCTCTCCCCCGGCTCCACGCTCGGTCTGCAACGGCTGCCCAACATCGACGCCCAGCACTGATGTCCCACGGCACTGCAACCTGGACACGGCCAAAACTAGGCCCCTGCCCCTCTCCCAGGGACCTGCTCCCCACCCTCTGCCCCTTCCCCGCCCTGGCCCCCAGAGCCCCCCACCGCTCTGGCTCTTCCTCCTTCGATGCCATCGTTCGGCCCAGGGCCCAGGCCTGCCCCTTCCCTCTCCCTCATCCCGTCTCGCAGCTTTGAAGACCGTCCCAAGGCCATTTCCCACACTTAGGTCCCCAGTCCAGACTGGTCTCCCCAAGGCAAGACTTTATAGCCAACCAACAAGCCAGCATCCACATTTGGGTGTGCCATGGTCTCAATGTGACCCTCCACAGTGGCACTCCTGAGACCTCCTCCTGCCACCTTCCTCCTGTTCTCAAAGTAGCAGGTCTAGCCTTCCAGAGGCTCCGTCCTTAGCTCGCTTTGTTTTCCCAGCCCATCAGCATATGCTGCTGCCCCTTCCAAATCACCCAGCACGCAGCGCGTCTCCCCATCTCCACTGTGACTGTCCCAGGTGACGCCCAGTCCAAGCAACCCCTCCCCCGGTCTACAGCGCCGTGACAATACGGCAGCGTTCACCCGAGGTCTCTGCAAAAGCCTCTGGGAAGTGGGCGGGGTAGAGGTCAATCAATTCTGGATATAATCCCTGCCTGGCAGGCAAACTTCTCCCCCAGCTGCACCACGGCTTCGCGAGGTCCGGAGCCCTGGGCCTCTTCCTCTCCGGGGTGTCTGGCATGCAGGGGGGCCTCAAAACAGCTTGGCCATTTTATGAGCACTGGACTTCTTCCACCTCTCCCAGTCCCAGTCCCCAGCCCCCTCCCCCAGGTGCGGAGCCCTGAGCTTAAGACTGTCACACCTGTCTTCTGACCCCTTTGATCCTGGCTTATAAAATGGGGGCTGCTTTTCCTAAGCAGAGAAAGCGGGGGCTGAAAAGCCTCCAAGAGCCTGCCCTGCCCCTCACGTGTAACTCAGGAAGAGCGGCCTCCGCAGGTGCCCACCGGCCAACACCTTCATCTCGGGCTTCCAGCCTCCTGAGCCACAGGCCAAATTTCCATCGTTTAAGCCATCCACTGTGGTACTTGTGACAGCAGCCTGGGCGAAGAGGCTCTGCCTCTGTCCTTCCCGCCCTTTCAGCACCGTTGCAATCACCTCTTTGGGTTAAGTGCCTCTCTGCTTGACATATCTGCAGTGGCTTCTCTTTTCTCAAGTGCCACAGCTGCATTTTTCAAACCACGGTGGGCAACCCACTCACGCTAATGAGTGTGAAACCAACGCGGCGGGTCTTGCCAGCGTCCTTTTTAAACGAATGAAGAAGCAAATAGAATAGAAAGAATAGAATAAAATAGAAACAGGTATTTTCAGATGGCATCAAGCACAGTAAGTTTTGTGGAATCTTGGCTTCAATCACATATTACCTGGACGTGTGTACCAGGTCACAATGTAAACTTATGCTTGGCAGCAGGGTGAAGGACCTGATTCGGGGACCCCACTGGCCTTCTGGACCCCTGGGGGTTGTTCCGCAAGGATTCAGGTCCTTCTGTAGCCCTGCGTGGGTGGAGGCGGACGGTCCCCACCCCCCACCTCCAGCCGACAGCCCCGGGACCCAGGGAGGCCAGGCCGGGGCCACTCACTTGCCGAGGAAGCACTTGGGGACGGTGCTCAGCTTTCGCCGGCGGTCCTTGATCAGGTTCACCTTCTTGTTCATCATCATGTGGTAGAGCTTCTCCCCCTTCTCCGCAATCATGACGTAGGCGTCGCGCTCCATGCCCAGCTTCAGGCCTGCGCAGGGCACAGTCACAACTGGGGAGAGCGCGAGGCCCAGGGGGACACAAGGGGCAGGCCACCTCCTGCCCTCCACCTGCCACCTGCCACCTGCCCTCCACCTGCCACCTGCCCTCCACCTGCCACCTGCCCTCCACCTGCCACCTGCCCTCCACCACGGCCACACCAGCAGACAGCTAGAGAGCACTGAATGACTGTCAGTGACTGCTCTAGGCACCTGCCATTGACTCCTCAAAGCAACCATTATACAGATGGGAAAGTTGAGGCCCAGAGAGGGCAAGTCCTGGAGTAACAGAGGGTTGTGCCTTCAACCCATGCGTCAAGCTCCAGAGCTATGTTCCTAATCACCTTCCTGTGCTATCTCCTGAACCCCAGGGTGGGTTTGCAAATGCAGAGGTCATCAAAAAACCACTTGGGGTCTTCATTCCAGCCCAGCAATAAAAGTCTGGTTGTTCCTCTAGACAATATACGTAGGACCCTGACACTAACATCTACCTACATTTTTTTACTTGTATTCTTGTCCAACCCTGACAACAGCAGTGACAAATAATAACAGCAAATAGCACCTACTATATGCCAAGTACTCCTCACAAGAAACCTGTATTAATGAGGTACTATGATTATCCCCATTTCACAGATGAAGAAACTGAGGCCCAGAGAAGTTAGGTTCTCTGACCAAGGTTGCCCAACTCAGAATGGTGGAAGCAGGATTTAGTCCCAGGGAGTTTGGTTCCATACCTGTGCTCTCGACCACAGCATGCACCACCCCTGTGAGCCCAGCTCTGAGGTCAGGATTCGGACAACACCCAATTTTAACACCAAGACCCACTCAGGCCGCTCTCCACCCATGATCCATGTGCCAGGTAGACCACAGCCCTCCATTCTGCCCACAAAAGTACCGATCAGCCCCGCCCAGGCCAGGCCACACCCTGAGGACTGCCCCAGTCCTGACCACACACTCAGCCCTGATCAGTTTCAGAGGTCACAACTGTGCACAACCATGACCCAGTTCAGGAGTTTATTTGGCCTAACAGCATTTTAGTGAATGTTGATGCAACACTGAACATCAGGAAATATCATCTAGAAAATCCAGGTGTCTGGCTTCTCTAGGAAAATGACCGATGGATCTAGGCCCGCTGGGCCTTTGAGAGGTGACAGCAACCCGCACTTGGGCGGGGCAGCAGACTGGGCTTATAGGCAAAAGGCAGAATCAGTCTGGGGAGCAGGGTTGGCGGGGCAGGAGTGACACCAGGGGTCTGACTCTGACCTCCGTGGCAAAGGGAGGAGCCACTGACGGACACACACAAGCCAGGGCAGGCGACAGGGTGCAAGCTGAGAGCTCTGATTCAGACACGGCAGTGTCAGGTGTCTGTGACACATCCCAGCAGCGATTCCAAGTAAGCAGGATAGACAGTGGGAAGAAACTGAGGCCCACTCTCCTCCTCTGTAAAACTGGGAGGCTAGGAGGCATGATTTTAGGATCATGCATCCAATTTCCAAATATGGTCAAATCCGAGAACTCGTTTAGCAGCCTTATAACCCTCCACAGCAGGAACTTCCATCCCCATTTATCAGATGAGATCACTGAGGTCTGGGAAGCTGAAGTAAGTTGCCCACGAACACTCCAAGGCCTCCTTGCTCCCATCAGTCTCCACCCCCAGCCCACCACCTACCACACTCAGCTCCCTGTGTGTTCTCGTGCAAACTGCCTTGGGGGCGCCTGTGCCCAGAAGGACTCCTGACGAAGGTCCCTGGGCAGCCCCAAAGGACCCTCCTCTCAGACTCAGATCTAGTGACTGTCAAAGAAAGCCTCAGGCAGAGGGCAGGGGGCTATGTGGGGGAGAGGAGCACCTTGGGTTCCAGTCCTCAAGGGTGAAGACTTGTTACCCTTAGCAAGTGCCGTCTATCAGGCCTCAGTTTTACCATCTGTCTAGTGGGCAACCTCTGAGATACCAAGTTAGAATGGTCCCAGTGCTTTGTGCCCCTTCAAAGACCTGCTTCTTGCGGTTCTGACCCTTCTGGAAGGGGCCCCGTGCCTTCCCTAGGCACTTGCCCCCTCTGCAGAATCCACGCACAGCCCAGGGATCCAGGGAAAGCCCCGAAGCCGCCACTCACTCTCACGCTGCTCCCGCTCGCGGATGATGGCGTCCAGCCACTTCTGCTTCTCCTCCGCCGTCTTGGCCATGCAGACAAACCACTTGTTCTTGGCCGTGTTGTGGATCTTCCAGCCGTTGGTGACGGTGTAGCCGTTGCTGTGGTAATCCGCTGGCGGGGCAGAGGCAAAGGGGCAGCACAGGCTCAGCTGCGCAACCCCCACCGCTCCCACCACCCGTGTGAGAGGGGTGAGAGGGGTCACAGGCCAGCCGTGACCTCCAGTCCCACTCCAGCCGTCACCAGGATCAGGATTTAGGAGTTGGACTCTCAACCCTTCAAGGACTCACTCTCCCTCGTGGCCATTGCCCAGTGGGCAAGACCTTCTGCAAAGCAAGCCCCTCCCAAACCCTCAGTGACAGGGGGCTTCAAGGCCTCATGTCTGGGCACAAATACAGGAGTGACTCCCAAGGGGACACCTGCCTGGAGTCTGGGAACACTTGCCAGCCTCCTCCCCATCTCACTCTGGCGTGGGGTAACTGAGCACCCTAGTGCCAGCCTGACAACCAAGGCGGCACTGTCTGGGGAGGTGGAAGCTGGCTGCATCCCAAATCTGAAGAGGGGTCCACAGGGATCAGGAGACTGCCAAAGGGGTCTGCAGCTCAAAACCAAGTAAGAACCCCCGCTGCCCGAGAGCAGCTCAAGGACACGTACACAAGACTGCTCGCAGCAGTGCTGCCCATGACCATGAGTGGTGGAAACGACCCAGATGTCCACCACCCGCAGAATGGGTAAACTGAGGAATGCTCATGCAATGGAATACTCTGCAGCAATGGAAACCAACAAACTGCAAAGAGCTACGTGCAGCAACAGGGGTGGAACACACTGACACGGTGCTGGGGGAAAGAAGCAAGATGTAAAAGGATGTGGACCATATTTCACGACCATTTAAACCTATGTACAAAATTGTATGTAACCATATTTATATTCAAAGCTATTTATGCATATATAATCATATAGCCATTTATATAAGGTTCAAAAACACAGACATTTTCATTATTTGGTAATAAATACTTCAGAGGTAAAAAAAAATCCTTTTAAAAACCAAAAAAAATGATCATCACAAAATTTGGATGTTGTTTACTTCTGGGGGATGAAGGTGTTGTGAAGGGGAAGGATTTGGGGTGTCGTGGTTCATTTCTTGAGTGCCAACTACCCAGGGGTTCGCTTCCCGTGTCTGTGTTCTAGGCACTGGTCTGTGGGTTGCATTTCCCCATCAGAGAAAAATACACTGAAATGAAACAAAGCGCGTGCGGGCAGCAGGCGGGCTGGGCTCGGCAGGCTGGGGGCCGGCCTACCTGTCCCGTCTTCCACGTTCTCCACCTCCATGACTTCGGTGTTGATCCGACCCCGGAAGATATAGAGGGAGCCGTTGATGGATTTGGTCCTCTTGGTGGACTTCTTGCTCCCGGTGACCCTGAAGACAGCGGGAAGTCAGTGTCGCTGCACTTCACCTCCCCACACGCAACTGTTTCCAACAGCGCAGGGCGAGCGCAGCTCTGACTTTCTGCACAGGTGTCTTGGCTATTTCTGCCTCTGCATCTCCATGCCATCAGTTGATCATTTACACACACACACACACGCACGCACACACAAACAACTGCCTCCTAGAATTTTTACTGAGGTTCTGGACAAAGCTTGATGACAGAGCGAAGGAGGGCTTGCTGATGGAGAGGGCAGCAGATGAGGATGGCGCAGAGCAACTACAACATGGCTTCAGTTCCTGGTACATTTTTTCTCCTGCCTCCAGACTCAAGCTGCAATACCGACTCTTGCTGGATCCCGAGCCTGTCCATCGTATAAATGAAGCTACACCAATGGCTCCCCTGGTCCCCAGCCTGCCGACTGCAGACAGTGGGACTTGTGGGCCTCCACAATCACATGAGCCAGTTCCTTATGATAAATCTCTTTCCATATGTGTGTGTGTGTATACATACATACATACATTTATATACATATACACACACACGTGCACACACACACCCTTACTGGGTCTATTTCTCTACAGCACCTTGACTAATACAGCTTTTCATGCCATTTGCTGGGAATGAAGAAGACCCAAAGAGGTAAAGGTTTGAGGTAAAAGTTAACATGAAAAAGAAGAGCCCTATTTTAGATACAACTTAAGCGTGAGCTACTGGTGAGACACCCCAGTGAAGATATATATTTGTATTTCTTCTACTTCACCATGTACCAGGCACTAGTCTCACCACTTATGTACCATTTACACGTCTTACTTACTTTATAAAAACAACCCCATGACATGAGGACTACTTTTATCCCCACTTAACAGATAGGAAAACAGAGGCGCGAGGAGCTGGCATAACCTGCCCAAGGTCACACGGCCAAGGAGCGGCGGAGCCTCCGTGTCCTGCTGCCCCGGAGATGCTAACGAGGCCAGAGATACCCGAGACGCAGCTCCCCCGGGCCCGGCTTCCCCTTCTGCAGAACAGACTTGTGCGACACTCCCTTCCACTTTCCACTTCTGACATCCGAGGAGCCTCTGCTTTGGATTAGCCAAGAAGCGCTCTGAGTCAGAGACCTCCCCTGACCCGTGTCCCGGACGGGTGGTGCCCTGCGTGACCCAGGCAAAGACAGAAACAGTCGGCAGACACCTAGCCGCTCCAGTTCCCTGTGCCCACATCAGAGGCGGGCCGGAGGCTCACCGCCATTGCCCAATCCTGGCGCTCGCGGAGCTCGGCCCTCTGGCTCTGGAACCAGAGGCGGGAATGCTGGCCGCCTGCCAGGTGCTCTCAGGAGACAGATGTGCCCTTTCCCTCCGGCCAGCCCGGCTCATCTGCAGACCCGAGGCAGGGAATGGCCTTGAAGGAGCCCACAGAGGCCACGGGGAAGGTCCCAGAAGGCTCACCTGGGATCCAGTACTATCAGAGGCGCCCCCACAGGTGAGGTCACCAGGGAGGCCGAAGGCTGAGCAACCTCAGCCGGAGCTGGGAGCAGGTCACAGAGGCCCAAAGGCACATTCTCTTTCCCAAACCCCAGTTCTGGGAAAAGTGCCTGATTCAGACGGCCCAGGGCGGGGTGGCCGGGAAGGCCGGGGTGGACGTTGGCAGCAGCCTTGGAACTGCCAAACGAGGACTCTAGGGATGGCCCCAGCGAAGACAGAGGAGCAGTGGGGAGGAGGAGGGCACTTATGGTGGGAGAAGAGGACAGGACGCAGCGACAGACAGACCTCAAGGAGTGGGCAGGAGCAAAAGAGCAGGTGAGGCAGAGATGCGCCGCCTCCCGGGGACGACGAGAGAGGGAGGCCCGGCCTTCAACAGGGGCAAAGGGAAGGGCCTCGAGGCTTCGGGGCCACTGCTCTCTAGGTGCGCACCTGTGGGACGCACTGAGTAAGAAGCCGACACTGTGTGGGGGTGAGTTAGCAGCAAGAGGCATAGCAGCTCACCTGTAGTGTGTGCGCTTACTGTGTGCCAGGCACGCTTAATGTATTTAGTGTCCACAATGGCCCCAATGGGGGTTGATTGCCCCCAATTTACAGGAGAGAAAACTGAGGCTCAGAGAGGCGCACTGGAGGAGGAAGACAATGCGAAGCCACACATGCGCATGGAACACCTATCATACATCCTGTTGTAAGTTCCTCCCCAAACCTCAGGAGGCTGGCAGAAACAGACAAGGAAACTGAGGCTCAGAGGCAGTGACATGGCCCAGACCACAGAGCTAGTTATTGGTAATGCTGAAAGCAGGGCCTGGGGTTTAAACCTCAGCTCTAGCCTCTGCTAGACAGAGGAGTAAAGAAGCCTCCAGAAAGTCACTGTTTCCTCCCAAAGTAACAGGAAAGAGAATTTGAAAACTGCTGCATTGGTCAACTGGGACCATCCTCTACCTGCTGAGCAAGAAAACTGCAAGGTAGGAATCTCTCTGTCCAGCTGTCCACCCACCCCCATCCACCTCCTGACTGTCCCTCTCTCCGAATCACCCATCCATGCGACTGTCCAGTGGCCAATTATGCCACCCTCCAGCCCAGAGTCCAACCACCCCGGCAACTATCAACCACCCACCTACCCACCCGCCAACACACCCACCCAATTAACCATCTACCCCTATTCGCCAAACTCCACCGCCCACCTACCTTCCCGATTATGTAACCCCCGACCAACCATCCCTCTACCCGATCTCTGGACAAACCACACGTGAAGGCCCAACCCACCATCCACCTGAACACACCTCTACCAGCCTCCACATCCATTTCTCCAGCTGCCCGAACCCCCAGTCTCCCGGCCCACCTGTGCGGCCCCGCCCCCGGCCTCACCTGGATTTCCGCTTGCAGTAGACCAGGAGGTTGTCGAAGAGGAAGAAGGCCCTCTCCTGGATGTTGCCTGCCGAGATTTTTAACAACGTCCCTTGCAGGAGGAGCTGGGTGCAGATGTCGGTGAGGTTGGAGCCCTGGCAGAGCGAGGAGGGTGCAGTGAGCGAGCCGGCCTGGGGGCACCCGGGATCAGCCCCTTCCTTCCCCAGAGACAGAACCTACCACCGCCCCCTCCGCACCCCGAAAGCTCCAAATGCACCTCTACGGGCAGATCTGTCAGCAGACAGAACGTCAATACAACTTGATCAACGGCTTCCATCTGCTGAGCGTGCCCGAACAATCCTAGGGAGAGTGTATTGATACGGCCACGTGACCCTTTTACAGGACAGGGACTTGGGGCTCACCCCATGCCAGGTACCATTACACAAACTCGGCCAATCCTTCAACAAGTCTCATTTTACAGAGGAGGCAGCTCAGGCACAGAGCGGTGGCTGGTTCAAGGTCACACAGGCAGGAATGGAGCGAGCTGGGGTTTAGGCCCTGACAGGCCCACACTCCCCACCCGCTCACCTCTGCCTCGGCCGCCCCTGCGAAGGGGACCTGAAGGTTTTCTATGCAATCGTTAGTCTAGAGCAGGGTCTCCAAGGGGGGGAGACCACATCCCGCGGGGAGCCCACGGCACCCCAGGAAAGGAGGGTGGGAAGAAAATATGACAACTTGTGTTTAGAGTCTTTTATTTTAAACTGATTTTATGTTTCCTCACTCCTGTTTCCTTCTCTGCCTTCGTGGGCGAGTTGGCAGTTGATGGGCTCTTAAACCAGGGCTTCCAGGGCCAGGAGGAGGCGAGGTCCCTGCGTCCGTTATTAAGAACACGCTTTTCCTTTTTATCGCCGTGAGTGGCACTGGCGGACCGCGGGGCTCGCATCTGGAGCGTCCCTCCGCGGGAGGCCCGGCCCACACGCCCGAGCGCCACCGCAGCTGCTGGCTGCTTTTCCGTCTGAATGAAATGAGAGTGCGATCCTGTTCTGCATCCACCGTGCCGCTCCCAGCGCTCTGCCGGCATCCCCTCCCGGGCCTCAAGCAACCCACTGCCAACACCCAGACTTTCCAGATGGGGAAACTGAGGCAAAGGATCTCTCCGTACACACAGAGGGGCTGGCTCCTTCACTTGCTTCCAAGGCACTTGCGACATACTGTCATTTCCTTGTGCTCAGTGAAATGGATTTATGGATTAACTTATCTGGTTTTAACTAAACCGGTCTCATGACAAAAAAAAGGCTTGAGTGGCTTATAAAGGGCCAGGAAAACACACACACACACACACACACACACACACACACGGGAGATTAAAGTAATGAATGACACAACCCCAAGCAAACAGCAAGAAAGTGGCCAAGAGAAGACCCCAACCCTGAGAACAAGCCCCCTGCCGGCCATACCCCAAAAAGAGATGACAACTTTTTAATCAGATCAGCAAGAGGTCACATGAAAAAGATTATACGTTATCAAGAAGAGTATCTGAAATGAGAATCTGCAACCACTGCCACTCACTGTGAACTAGCCCCTAAGTCATACTGTCCCCTGACGTCCTAAGTACTGATAGTGTTACGCCACTGCAAGCAACTTAACGATTAAACATTATTTTTTTCTAGCAAGAACGTATTCTTTTCACAAGTCACCTTAAGGATCTAGCTGTATTTAAAAACCTTTCTACTTCATGGAAAATCATGCCCTGTTTTCCAAAGGACAAATACTTTATTCTTAAAATAAGACCAGGAGATAATGCCAGAGATACTATTACTACAAGTAAACAGATAGAGGGAAATGAGGCCCACGGAGCAGGACAAACTCACCCAAGGCAGGGCAGTCTGTAAGTGATAGGGCTGGGTCTCAAAACCAAGTCCCTGTGCCCCAGCTTCCTCATCTGTAAAATGGGAATAATAACAGCACCTCCCTGACAGTGTTGGAAACATACAACAGGTGCTCAATAATTGCCAGCAATTCTTATGCCAGGTCACTTTATTTGCTACTGTACCCAGAAATGGTGATCACGATAAGGGCCGCTGATTTCTCAAACTGCAGATTTTCAGGGTCAGAAAGAATTCTAAAGACCCTTAGTTCCCATTTCCCTAGGCCCTAACCATAAGAAAGCATCTGGAAATCACTTCTGCTCTGGCTGCCAAAGAGCTTGCTCAACATCCTCTCCACAGAGGCCCATGTGAGAAATTTCTTTTCCATCTGAGTGCCAGGAAACCCTGTCTCCTAGAAGAACTGCTTCACTGCTTCCTTTTTTTGACACTGAGTGTGAGGTAACTTATGTATGCTGCTCTTTTCACATTGGCTGCCAGGAAGCTCAAAGCCCAAGCAGACAGATGTTTAAATGAGTCAATTCTATTTGCTCTTGAGGTTGAAAGTGGCCATGTGACCTACTTCATCCTGGTCAATGAAATGAAAGGGAAGTCTCCCTGGGGCTTCTGGAAAAGGTTTTCCTCCTCTGGGGAGGAGAGCTCCTCTTACTGCCCTGGCCATGCCCCTGTCTCTGGCTTTGAACACACAATGCCAGGAGCTGCTGCCTTCATGGAAGCATGAGGGAAAGAAGAGAACCCAAAGAGACCAAACCGGAGCTCCGGCACCATGAGGCTGAGAGGAGAGTCCCTAGAGGACGCACCCCAACTGACACACCCGAGGATCAGGCAACTTTCAGTTGCAGGAAACAGAAACCAAGCTATTCATTTCCAGCAGAAAGGAATGAGGAGCTCACTCCCTCATGGAAGGGGCTGGAGGAACCAGGACTCAGGGCTTCCAGAAACCCACCAACTCTGCAGAACTGGCCCAGCAGGGGAGCCGCTGCCCTGCCTCAGGTGGGAAAAGGACAATCAGAACATACCTGCCCAAGCTCACAGTCCAGGAAAACGCCTCCCAGGCGGCATCTAGGCTCTTGGTACCTGTCACCTCAACTGTCAGCTGCAAAGCCATCCCATGCCTGCTAGATACACACTGCCACCAGTAAAAAAAACGGATGCCCTATGTCCTGCACCTCGACACCCAGAAGCTGGCACCTGAGCCCTCCACTGACATTACAAAAAAAGGCCAAACACAGCCATGGCCGTGCTTCGTTGCAAAACAGCAGGAGGGTGGCCTCCGCCCCTCTCTCACCTTCCAAATCCCAAGCAGCTGGATCTGATCTTGGCCAAGCCCCAAGTCACATCCCAAAGCCAAGCGACAAGGGAGTGTGGGGCATGCAGCTCTTCGTTCCGGCCTCAGCCGCACAGGAAGGCCCCTCGGAAGGAGGGAGGGTGCGTGGCAGGTGGATCGGCCACTCCACGAACCCACCCCTGCCCCGGACACACGCCCGTCTCCCCTCCGCAGCCAAACCCCCCACCTCACGGCCACACCGCGTCACGGAGGAAAGAACCGGAAACCCTACACAGCGCGAGTGCCTGCGAAGCCAGAAAACCCGAAAGGCCCACGGCAGACGACACGGAAAATCCTGCCTGAGAGCCTTTCATCGTTGGTCTTAATCTCCCATTCCAATGTATTGACTCTGATATTAATTTCTTTATTTACTCATATTTTCCCATTTCCTTCTGCAGATTTCTAGGAAACCTCTAATAATCTAAGGAAGGTGTAAGGGCTTAAACAAATAAATTACATATAATCCAAAGATCTCAAGAAGCCCATCCCCTAATAATTATGATAGTAATATCAATAAATCTGCCATTTATTGAGTACCTATTAAGTGCCAGGTATAGGTGAGGATACTGACATTCAGAGAAGTTAAGACATTTGCCTAAAGTCACCCAGCAAGGGAGTGTCAAAGCTAGAATTCTGTCCCGGAATGGGCACTTAAATGCTACCCTTGACCTTGACGCCAACAGCTCCAAGGACCAGGTACATGAGGCAGGTAGGGCGATGCGTGGAAGAGAACGAGTGGGAGGTAACGGGGAAGGGTGGGGTCTGAGGAGCACTAGAGGCTCCAGTGCCCGTGGACAGGGGACACGGGTGCCCAGGGTTACCAATGTTTCAAGAGAAACTTGAAATCTGGTTTTTATGTGGATTTAATTGAAAAATAATTGAGCGTTCTTTCACAACACCGCGTAGGCCAAACACAGTACGCCGCAGAGCGAGTCTGGTGCCCAGGCTGCCGTGGGTGCCTGCAGCTGGGAGCCCGCCCCGCCCCGCCCCGCCCCGCCCCTGCACGCACCTCCCAGCCTTCCATGTGCGACTGCAGCTGCTCCAGGGCTTCCAGCTTCTCCATCTGCCTCTTGGTCTCGTTGATGTTGGAGCAAACGGTCTTCATGGCCTGCAGGGCGCTCTGGACCGCGTGGTGGTCCGGGTGTTTGCCGGGCGTCCTCTTGGCCAGCTCCTGGGGTAGAGGCAGGGGCGGGGATGGGAGACATCAATCCAGAGGGGACCCAGCCTGGCGCAGAGTCCCGGCTCTGCCGCACACAAGCTGTGTAACCCAGGGCTGGGGAACATCATTCATTCATTCACTCTGTGAGTGCCACCGGAGCACCTTGCCCTAGGCAGGCAGTGCTCCAGGATCTGGGGATAAATGTGTTAACAAAACAGGCAAAAGCGCCTCGCCTGGTGGACATTTCATTCTGTTAAAGGAGATGGGCCAAAGTAAGGGAAAATCAAGTATGTGACACAATGTCAAGCAGCGCTGAGTACTATGAAGGCACGTCAGAAGGAGGGGACAGGGAGTGTTGTTTCAAATAGGGGGGTCAGGGGACACCTGCCTGAGGAGGTGACGTTTGAGCAGAGACCCCGGACGGAGCGGGAGAGGGAGGCCTGAGGGAAGAGCATGCCAGGCAGAGGGAACAGCGAGTGCAAAGCTCCGGGGCAGGGGCACAGACGGTGTGTGGCACAGCGGGGAGGCAGTGTCTGCAGTGGCCTCCATGAGAGTGACCGGCGGGTCACAGAGGTGGCCACAGACACTGTTCCTCCCCAGCCTGTTTTCTTACCTGTAAAGTGCATGTTATAAAAACCTCGCCCTCCCAGGCACATGGGACAGGGCGTGCAAAGTGGCAAGTTGGTTCTTAATCCACAAACTCCATCCCCTCTCAGTCACCCCTCGCCTCAGGCACACGCTGGGACACTCTAGTGGCCAGGCCAGTCTTAATCAAAAGACTCCCACCGCGTACTGAGTGTGGTGAGAGAGGGACTGAGGAGAAAGGGATCGGCGGGGACTCGAGACACCAGGGAAGGTTTTCAGGCTGAATCACCCCACCCGCCGGCCACCAGCCCCTCGCCCGGGACCATCGCCCCAGGGGGAGCCTAACGGTTCCAGGATCTGCCACAGCCCATCTCCCTGCTCCCATGGAAATCACATACAACGTCCCTGCAGACATGACGCTTCCACAGGGTGGTGACGCGTACTGGCTCTGCCCCCCATGGCCCTGGGCCAGTCACCCTTCAGCCCTAAGCCTCAGCTTCACCGTCTGCAAACCGGTGACGATGAGGATGACGGTGACCATGAGGATGATGGAGACGATGACAGCAACAGCTAACGCCCCTACCGAGCCCTCACTCCGTGCTTGTAAGGCAGGCTCTCCTGTCACCCACTGACGGACAAGGAGACTCAGGCACAGCCCAGGCCGTGCTCAAGGCCCCAAAGACGTTCGAGGAAGAACTGAGATCTGAACCGGGCCATCCGGCTCTGCTCACGGCTGCGGCGAGGGACAAATGAGACTGCAGGAGAAGCCCCAGCTCGTGCACGGTACGCAGAGTATGTGCTCACTATTGTGTTCTGGTTGTTAGGTAGAGGGTAGAGGCGGGGGCAGGGATGAGAGACATCAATCCAGAGGGGACCCAGCCTGGCGCAGAGTCCCGGCTCTGCCACACACAAGCTGTGTAACCCAGGGCTGGGGAACATCATTCATTCACACACTCTGCGCGTGCCATCGGAGCACCCCCCCAGGCAGGCAGTGCACGATGTCATCGCGAGCTGCAGTCTGCCGTGAACGGGTGTTGGTCTGAGCGCTCCCTGCAGGAAACCACCACCAGAACAGCCTTCTCCGGTCACTTCACTTTTGCCCTGCCTGAAATGAAATGTGTTCTGCCCCATCAGGCCCCTGGGGCTTGGCGGAGCCCCTGCCGTGTGCCTGGATCGTGCCACAGGGATGCGAGGGAGGGAGAAGCGAGCCCTGCTCCTTCTCCGGGGCCCCAGCAATGCGGCTGGGAGGAGCTTCCACGGGAGTGGGGGCTTCAGGGCAGGGGGCGGGGTGTAGATAACAGCCCTGCGTGGTGAAGACACTCGTGATATATATAGTAAATCAGAAAAGGAGAAGCAAGGCTGGAAAAGCTTCCCGGAGAAACCGGCACGGAAGCAGGCAGGACTTGGTGGGGGAGGTGTTATTTCAAGTCACCCCCCACTCAGCAAACACGGCTGAGCACCTGGGCTGCACCTGAGCTCTGGGCCTTGGGCAGAGACCAAGACTGCCCGCAGGGAGCCCACAGCCAAGAGGAAATGGTCAACAAGACAAGGACGATGACTATCGATAGTAATAATAGCTAATGGTGAGCACTCACGCTCTTGTCCAGCTCACGTGATCCCCACGTCAACCCCATGAGGTAGGGACTGTTACTACCCTTGTTTGACAGATGCAAGAACTGAGGCACAGAGAAGTCAGGTTGTCGGTTCAAGGTCACACAGCAGATCTGAGCCCAACCAGTTTGGCTCCAGAGTTTGTGCTCTAAATCCCTGTACTATTTTCAAGCTTTCAGACAGTTAAATAGGAACACTTTCCTCTCAAATAAATAGATAATTTATATTAATTCAAGGGACAGAGAGTGAGGGAGACATGGTGGTCTGAGAAGGTCTCACTGAAGAAAAGCGCTTGTGGGTGGAGCCTGGGAGAAGTGACGGCATGGACCACACAAACGCCTGCAAGGACGCACTCCAGTAAGGAGAGGGGCACGAGCAAAGGCCCTGAGGCAGCGAGAGACAGCAAGAGGCTGGTGAGGCCGCAGCAGAGTGAATGAGAGAGGGATGGACAGCGACATCAGACAAGCACGCTGAGGCCAGATCACGCAAGGCAGCGGTGGGATCTCTGGGTTTCGTCTTCAAAGCGTGGGGAGGCGATGGGGGTAGGAGCTGAGGCCTGACCACTTCACCCTTTAAAGGACCCCGTGGCTGACAAGCAGAGGCTGCACCAGAAGGAACATGAAGTGAATGCAGAAGCAGAAAGACTGGTTAGTGGCCACTGCAGATGTCCAGGCAAGAGGTGATGGTGGCTTGGCCCAGGAAGCTCTGTGCCCTATTCACATATTCACGCATTCATTCACTTAGCGAGGCGTCCTGTATACCTGGCCCCATGCTAAGCCCTCTGTCAGGGACAGATGATGGCAGACAGTGCCCCGGACCTCCTAGAGCTGACAGCCTGCTTGTGGGCATGTCTACAGACAAAATTACGATAGAAGACCATGATCTTATGATTACAATCAGTAATTAAGTTCAATTCACCAAAGCTACCCAGTCCCACGTTCTGCAAATATGTGGACCTGTGTCAGCCAGCCAAGGCTAGAGAGGTGAGTGTGCCCCACCAGCTCCCAGTAGGCAGGGACAGAGGCTGCTAGTAAGTAAGACAGCCCCCCCCCACACCAATCCATAGTCATCAATCAACCCCTTCTTCTAAAGCAGGGGTCAAATGACAGTCTAAAGACCAAATCCAACCCACAGCTTGTTTTTGTAAATAAAGTTTATTGGAACCCAGCATACTCGTGCATTTATATATTGTCAGCGGCTGCCCTTGCATACAACAGCAGAGTGCATAGCTGTGACAGAGACTGGATAGCCCCCAAGGCCTAAAAGATTTACTATCTTGTCCTTTAAAGCAGCAGTTCCCAACCTTTTTGACACCAGGGACTGGTTTCGTGGAAGACAGGTTTTCCACAGACAGGAGTAGTGGTTGCAACCTGGATCCCTCCAATGTGCAGTTTGCAGTGGGGTTCACGCTCCTACGACAGTCTGATGCCACCACTGATCTGACGGGGTGGGGCTCGGGTGGTGATGCCAGTGACAGGAGTGGCTATGGGGGCTTCACTCCCTTACCCGATGCTCACCTCCTGCTTGCAGCCCGACGCTGATCTGTGGCCCAGGGGTTGGGCCACACCCCAGGGGGGCAGAACCTGGCCCTGACAGCATGGAGCTACCACGTTGTGCTGCACTGCTTTGTACAGAGAGAAGCTCGGGCGTTGTTTAAACCACTGTGTTCAGGCTCTGTCACTGCAGCTAAAATATATCCTAGCATAAAGAGACCCTACCTTGGGGTGTCACTTGGGATAAATTCCCCATGAAATTGTGTCCTTCCTCCTGTCGGCTCTACTTAGCTTGGCCGTCTTGAAATGCTGGAGTGAATGAACTTGCCTCCCAGTGCCCCCAGCGGGCAGGTGCTTTGATGAGCCCCCCCCCCATGAGGGAGCAGAGGCTCACGCAGAGGCGAGGCCACTGGCCCCACGTTGCAGACGGCTAAGCGGCCACACAGCCCAGCTCCAGAGCTCCCATTTTGTAGCCACTACTCCATGATTCCCAAGCCTGAGTCCCTGAGTCTCCCCAACTCCCCCACAAGCGGGAGCCCCCACCACTTTCATTCTTGAACCCAAAACCTGCCGCAGCCCTCTGCTGGGGGCTGCCACCCCATCTGCTCCTCCCAGACCCCTGGAAGTTGGGATGTCCGTGATCCTCCTTCAGTGGGTTCCCCGTGCGGCTGCCAACACGCAGGAGACAGTGAAGATGGGAAGAAGCTTATTTCTCCTTTCCGTATGGCTGCCCCCACCTCGACTCCTGCCCTGGGCCAGCACTAGGGATGGGGAATCGAAACCAAGCAAGACCCGGCCAGGCCCCTGGCTCTGCACCGGAACTGCAGGAAGTGTGGGCTCTGGTGTCTCGGTTCCCGGGGCCATGTCGCTCCACTCTGCTGAGCTCCAGAAGCTGAGGGCCCGTCCCTGCCGCCAGGCCTGCGCCCGTGCGGTCTGCTCTCCTGGCACCCTCTTCCTCCAGGTCTTAGAAGGCCACACGGGACAGGCACACAGATCAGTGGAAAAGGACTGAGAGTCGAGAAAAAAATCCTTACATTTATGGTCAATTAATTTTCAGCAAGGATGCCAACACAATTAAATGGGAGAACGAGCAGTCTTTTGAACAAATGATGCTAGAACAACTGATATTCATGTGCGACAGAACAATGCTGGGCCCCCTTCCCCACACTGCGCACAAAAATTAACTCAAAACGGATCACTGACTGAAATTTAAGAGCTAAAACTATAAAACTATTAAAAGAAAACATAGGAGTAAATCCTCATGACCTTACGTTACATTAGGCAAAGTGTTCTTAGATATGACACCAAATGCATACGTGACTT